AAAGGGACCATCAGCAAAAACTATTGTAGCGGCTTTACAAGTGGAATCAGCTTTTCAAGATCATACAGGCAAACAATGGTGTGCTCAATAATGGAAACCAATAATTTCTGATTCTTAATCTGATGTTCCCAGTAATAGAGGCTGCAGTCTCATTATTTTAGTAAAAATAAACTAGATTTTGAATTAAGCTCTTTTCATCCTTTTTATGCAGCAGGAATATATTAGTTATAATTTGGAACTTTTCCCTACTGACATGTTCAGAAAGATTAAAAAGGGAGTCTCTAAGCTTTAGGACTTTTCATAATTGTGATCTATATAATATTAGAGACGGAAGTACTTAAATAATATTCTCTGAGCTGCAATTCAATTTCCTGCTTGTAGTAAACATAGGAAGAAAGCAAGATCTATGTAATAGAAGTGCTCTTGTTGTCATGACAACAGGAAGAAGCAACAGGAGGAAGACTCTTAGCTGTTAAGAATGGTCTGTTACGAGGTGTCAGGGCCCAGTAAGTATGGTTAATACTCTGTTCTCCATTTAGTTTTGCCTTTACACAGCTTACTTGCTTCACTGCTGCAAATGTAATCCAATTTTCTCAGCAGCACATTAGCCTCAGGAAAGGCAAAGCGAATTTTGAACAGGGCTCTTCATCCTTTCCTGGGGGTAATACATTATCTGTTCATCTTGAAAAACTGCCCAGTGACTTCTATCTCCTACACTAATATATTATTTTTGCAACTTATTATGCCAGTATCTCTGAGTTTGTTCTTATTATGACTCGTAAGCTCATTATCAATTAACAAATAAGTAAACGGATTACAAGAGGCAGAGCAGGAATAAAATGAGAGCGTGGAGATGAACAGGGCAGTGGAATCAACATGGCAGTGACACAACTGCTCTGCCAGCCCAGTTTCCGCCCCAAAAAACACCAGCTTCTGGACATACTCTAACATTGGTGATCCCACAGATGGGCATCTCATAATAATGGGCCAGTGGGCAGGTTCCTGACAAATGGCATCATCCATTGGATCATTTCTTTGAAACAGTCCTTCCCAAAATGTAGGCCCCAAACCATGTACATCAGAATTCCCCAGCATGCCTGTTAAAAATGCACATTTTTAAGTTCTGTTCCTGATCTGCTGAATCGGAAATGGTAGAGGTTGGCTTGAGGGATTTGATTTGCTAAAAAGCACAGTCAAATTTGAGAATCATCGTCTTATATCAAAGTTTGAAAAAAAATTGAGGGAAGTCCCCTCTGGCACTAAGTACCTAAGAAGGGCAGAGGAGTTTGCATGCTAGGCGAAAAAAGGAAGGCAGACAAGCCAAAGATGAAGCTTGCCTATTTCACAGCTTTCCTTAGGTTTTACCTTGGTTCTGACTGCTATAGATTTAAGCCAGACTAAATGACACTGTAGGTGCAATCAGCAAAATCCAAATGTGGTGCTTCTACAGATTTGTACTGCTGTCTTGTGAACTGCTTTATTTAACAAACAGATTCCCCCCAAAAGGAGGGAGGGGCACCCTTTAGATTAAAACAGACTCAAAAGACACATGAGCCCAATACAATGTATGGATCTTATTTTTACCTAATTAAAAAAAAAAAACTGAAAAGAAAGCAATGTTTGTAACAATAGAAAAAATTCCAACACCATGTGGACACTAGATCATTTTAAAGATTTATTAATTTTATTAAATGAGTTAATGATATGTATTTATGTTAAAAAGAAGAGGCTTTGTGTTTTAGAGGTATAGATTTAACTGTTTACAGATTAAATGATACATGTGTACTTTAAAATAATCCAGTGGGGAAGTATGGAGGAAATACAAGGTAAAATTAAATAAAATACATGTGTTAATAATTATTAAAGCTGCATGATAAGTACATAAATATTCAATATAGGATTCTTGTTATTTAGGGGAAAACTTGAAAATTCTCCAGAGCCACAAAAGGCCTTTTCAGCAGGGGAATGGCAGGTGAAATGGGCATCCTAGAGGGTGCAGCCCGGGGGATAGGAAGACCAGCGAGGCGAGGGGGTTGTCAAGGAAGGGCTCAGTGGCAAAGGACTGAACCACAACGGTGCCACTGGGAGCATAGGGGAGGCCAAGTGCGGACAGTATTAGAGATAGAAGCAGTAGAACTATTTTTTTTTATTTCAGCATATTATGGGGGTACAGATTTTAAGGTTTCAATAAATTCTCTTTCCCCCCTCCCCCCACAAGTCTGAGTTTCCAGCATGACCATCCCTCAGATGGTGCACATCTCACTTATTATGTATGTATATACCCGCCCCCCTCCCCCCTCCCACCTGCCCAATACCCTATTACTGTAGTACCTATGTGTCCACTTAGGTGCTACTCAGTTAATACCAGTTTGCTGGTGAGTATATGTGGTGCTTGTTTTTCCATTCTTGGGATACTTCACTTAGTAGTATGGGTTCCAGCTCTAACCAGGAAAATATAAGATGTGCTATATCACCATTGTTTCTTAGAGCTGAATAGTACTCCATGGTATACATATACCACATTTTATTAATCCATTCTTGGATTGATGGGCACTTGGGCTGTTTCCACAGCCTTGCAATTATGAATTGTGCTGCTATAAACATTCGAGTGCAGGTGTCTTTTTTGTAGAGTGTCATTGGATCTTTTGGGTAGATGCCCAGCAATGGGATTGCTGGATCAAATGGTAGATTCACTTGGATCGCTTTAAGGTCTCTCCATATTGCTTTCCACAGAGGTTGAACTAGTTTGCAGTCCCACCAGCAGTGTAGGAGTGTTCCTCTCTCTCTGCATCCATGCCAGCATTTATTGTTTGGAGACTTTTTGATAAAGGCCATTCTCACTGGAGTTAAGTGATATCTCATTGTGGTTTTGATTTGCATTTCCCTGATGATTAGAGATGTTGAGCATTTTTTCATATGTTTGTTGGCCATTCTTCTGTCTTCTTTAGAAAAGTTTCTGTTCAAGTTCTTTGCCCACTTTGTAATAGGGTTATTTGATTTTTTCTTCTTGATTTTCATGAGTTCTAAGTATATTCTAGTTATCAGCCCTTTATCGGATACGTAGGATGCAAAAATTTTCTCCCATTCTGTAGGTTGTCTGTTTACTTTCATAACTGTTTCTTTGGCTGTGCAGAAGCTTTTTAGTTTCATCATGTCCCATTTATTTATTTTTGTTGCTGCTGTGATTGCCTTTGGGGAAATCTTCGTAAACTCTTTGCCTAGGCTGATGTCTAGGAGAGTGTTTCCAACATTTTCCTCTAGAATTCTAATAGTTTCATACCTTAGGTTTAAGTCTGTTATCCAGTGTGAGTTGATTATTGTGAGAGGTGAAAGGTGTGGGTCCTGCTTTAGCCTTCTACAAGTGGCTATCCAGTTTTCCCAGCACCATTTATTGAAAAGGGATTCTTTTCCCCAGTGTATGTTTTTGTCTGCTTTGTCAAAGATTAGATGGCTATATGAGGATGGTTTCATATCAGGATTCTCAGATCTGTTCCACTGGTCAATATTCCTATTTTTGTATTGATGGAAGGAGCTAATGAAGGAGGAATGAAGGATCAGGTTTTAGGCTGGGATGAATGGCTGCATGGTGGGGCCATGCAACAAATGGGGGAATTTAGGAGACATTAAAGTTAGGGGTGAAAGGAGCGATGGATTCCATTTCAGATACGTTGAGTTTGAAGTGCCTGTGGAACATCCCGGTTTAGGAAACGTCTGCCCTAGAGATATGGTTTTGGCAATTATCAGCTGCAGCATAATTTCCATGGAAACATGTAGAGTGTAGGCACAAGAAAACACTCCCTGAGCAAGTACTTTCTATCAAATTAATAAATTCCTCTTGGACTGTTTTAACATTGAAAAAGCGAAGCGGTGGCTTGATCAGGGAGAATGATATAAGAAAACAAAATGACAATATATGATACCCACACTGTTCTGCATTGTCTCAATTTCCATTTTGAATGTGTGATAGATTATCAGGGTTTAATTACATAGGGTTTTCTTTTTTCATTTTCTTTCCCCTAATAAAGGAGTTTTCAAGAGAACACTGGGCACTAAAAAACATCTCATATGGAAGATCAATTTTTTCTTTTTTTTTTCTTTTTACCCTTTATTCTATTTTGTCCTCTTCTGTGTTGCCTATGGCATTACAAAAATTGAAGGAAACCACTAAAACCATCTAAATTGAGGGCCACAGTTCATTTTCCTGTCTTTAAAACAGCCATGATTAGGTTGAATTCTTGGGTTGACAATTGCATTTAGAAGGAGCCAGGGAGCTGCTGAACTAAAAAGAAGTGTTTTATGTCAGGAATTGATTTATACCTTGGAGCAGGACAAAGAGAGAAATACTCAGCCACTGTGATATCTGTTGCTGGGAAAGCGTCATGATTTGTCGTTGGTGGGAACATGAGGCCATCTGCTATCCTTTAATGAAATATGTCCTAACATTCTTATTTGAAACACAGAATGATTTACCAACCCAAAATTATAGGTTTTCAGCAATTGAGGGTCTTGTAGGTGGTTTTTTTTTGGGGGGGGAGGAGCAGGAGGGAAGGAGTGGTTGTTTTTTTTTTTAGATATTTTTATCTTTAGGATTTATATTCAAATAAGAAGAAAAGCTACCAGTATCTTTTTTTCTGTTCCGGGTTTATTCTCAAAATCTTGTGTTGACTGCACAGTTCAAATTCCTCAGCTTCCTATTTGAAGACTCCCTAATTTGGCTTCATCCAAAACCAATTGAATCAGAAGTTTGGCAGGTTGGACTCAGACATTTGGTTTTTTTAATCTCTCCCCATGCAATTTTAATGTGCAGTCAAGGTGAGACTCGCTCTGGTTGAGAAAAAATAACTGGGGCATTTGTATTACCTATCATGAGAAGCAAATGTCAGAAATTAAACTTTTTCTGAGCCTCAGATGGCAGGTGTGGGGTGTGTGTGTGTGTGTGTGTGTGTGTGTGTGTGTGTGTGTGTGCAGTTTGCATTATCTCTCTCTGCCCTGCCGTGCAGGTGACTGCTGTGAGGGTGTATGTGAACAGTTCCTCTGAGAATCTCAACTATCCAGTCCTTGTCGTGGTTCGCCAGCAGAAAGAGGTGCTGTCCTGGCAGGTCCCTCTGCTCTTCCAAGGACTGTAAGTGGATTTTTTTTTCCCCCAGACAGCTTCACTGCATTTGGTTTTCTTCAATGTCCTAGAACTTAACTGGTCTTTTTTCTAAGGAAAGGAGATCAGACATTTGGAATGTTGAGATATGCATACAGCATGCAAAGTGCAAACAAAGGTCATGGTGCGTGCCCTGACCTGTTAAGCTCTATTTGATTCCCATCCTCTTGAATTTCAGATACGCACTCCACCTAGATTGGCAACACCTAGAAGAACTTTTACCATTTTAAAATTCTACCATAATGATCTGGTAGCTCTTCATTGGATAATGGGTCATCCAATGGGCTAGGCCCAGCAGTCAACATAAATAAGACTCCCCTCATTCTTTAAAATGTCCCCCATATGTGCACTCTTTATTCAATAATACTTATTGAGCACTACTAAGTAACAGGTGCTGGGGATACAGAGGTGGAAAAACAACAAATTCCCTGCCCCCACGGAATTTTTACTTTCTCAGGGGAGAACTGTATAAGGCACTATAGCACCAATGAGAAAAACCCAGAAGGCAAACAAAATGGGAGCATAGTATGGTGTTACATCATTTTTAAGGGTTGGGGAGTTTGAAGATTGAAATAATGATTCTGATAGCTTTGGCTGGGTCTCAGGGGCTTTCTTTACCCTCTATTTTAGCAAAAGTTTGAAGAGTGGAAAAATGAAATCAGCTGGTTGTTTTATCAGGATAGTTCCTCTTCAAAATTTGGTATTTTTCCTCACCGAGTTGGGAGGCTGGCTTAGTGTAATGTAGACCTTGCTTAAGTGAACAGTCAGCACAGAACAGTCCTCGTGTCCCTGTTACCACATCACACAGCTCAGTGCTGACAGTGCTAGTTCCGTCAAGAAGTCCAGTCTGAAATTTAAAACATAAGGACTTGGCCAGGCCCGGTGGCTCATGCCTGTAGTGCTAGTACTCTGGGAGGCTGAGGCGGGAGGATCACCTGAGGTCAGGAGTTCAAGACCAGCCTGAGCAAGAGCGAGACTCTGTCTCTACTAAAAATAGAAATTAATTGGCCAACTAAAAATATATAGAAAAAATAAGCCGGGCATGGTGGTGCATGCCTTTAGTCTCAGCTACTCAGGAGGCTGAGGCAGAAGGATCGCTTGAGCCCAGGAGTTTGAGGTTGCTGTGAGCTAGGCTGACGCCACAGCACTCGAGCCAGGGCAAAAGAGTGAGACTCTGTCTAAAAAAAAAAAAAAAGCATAAGGACTTGAAAACAAATTTGGAGATAGGCTTCCCTGCTCATTCATCGAGTCTCTTTTTTGTTCTTGTTGATTTTTTCCTCCATTGGCTACTATAGATACCAGAGGAGCTATAACTACCAGGAAGTGAGCCGCACTTTATGTCCCTCAGAAGCAACCAATGAAACAGGACCTCTGGAGCAACTGATATTTGTAGATGTAGCATCCATGGCACCACTAGGCGCCCAGTACAAGCTGCTGGTCACCAAGCTCAAGCACTTCCAGCTCCGGTAAGCAGGGCTCATGGTGGTTTTGTTCTGCTTACTTCTCTGATCTTCAATTCAGTGTCCATCCTTACAGATTACCGTTCTAGAAGGAAATTATCCACTTAGCACATTATCCTCTCACCTTCTGTACTCTCCTGCCCATAGCTATCTATGCAATAGGGAGGCGGTAGGGGACTGGTGCAGCGGCTAAGAGCAGTTGGCCTCATAGGTGAATCTGTTTGGGAGGAGCTATTTGTGGGAGGGGCTGTCCAGTCTGTAGTCCAGGCAAGAATTACTGGTGACTGGGTACTTTTGTAACTAACCAGCACCACACTCCTGGAGGAAGTTTTGTTTTTGCTTTAAAGAAGACTTTAAGCTATTTTTCCTAAACTTATTACTATTTCAGTTTTCTCTTTCCAGGTTAGGAATATAGGTAGGAATGTGACTTTGTCCTTCTTTGGAGTGACTAGTGTTACTTTTGTTCCTGTTTTTTGAAAAAATAAAACAAACAGGCAAGCCTGCTGAAAAAACAGGGGCATGAGACTTGGGTACTCCACCGAGCAAGCTACCCAAATGGTCAAAAAACACAGCTTCAGTTGGGCGAGGTGGCTCACTCCTGTAATCCTAGCACTCTGGGAGGCCAAGGAGAGAGGATTGCTTGAGGTCAGGAGTCCAAGACCAGCCTAAGCAAGAGCGAGACTCCATCTCTACCAAAAATAGAAAAAATTAGCCAGATGTGGTAGTGTATGCCTGTAGTCCCAACTATTCAGGAGGCTGAGGCAGGAGGATGGTTTGAGCCCAGGACTTTGAGGTTGCTGTGAGCTAGGCTGAGATGCCACTGCACTCTAGCCTGGGTGACAAAGTGACACGCAAGACTTTGTCTCAAAAAAAAAAAAAAACCCACTCTTTAGCTATAATAAATATAAATTAAAACCATAACGAGATTCTACTACGACTACCAAATTGCTATAATTTGAAAGGCCTGACAATGTAGTTCCACTCCTAGTTATATATCCAACTCTTAGATATATAATTGTGGGATTCATTCAATGGAATACAATACAACAATGAAAATAAACTGTTGTTATACCTAACAACATGGATAAATTTTACAATGTTGAGCAAAAGAAGTCATACAGAAGAAACACATGCTGTTGGATTCCATTTATATAAAGCTTAAAAATAGGCAAAACTATTCCATGATGTTAGAAGTCAGGACAGTGGTATCTTTGGGGAGGAAAGAACAAGTACATGGCTATGTTTACCTGGTGATAACTTATTCAGATATATGCTTATAACTGTATACTTTTCTCTATGTGTGTTATATTTTATTTAAAAAGTTAATTTAAAAAAATAAAATTTAAAACTATTTAGTATTGCCACTCTTTTACAGCTTATATTTCTAATCAGAATGTTCTGCTCTATTGTAAAGCTCTCTTTAAATTTTCTAAGGCAGTTTATAACGAGGTCTGTAGCCAGTGGAGTTGCTAACAGGAATCAAATATTTATCTTGGTCTTCTGTACTCCCCTTGACATAGCATTGTACCCATAGAAACAGATGGACAGAGGTACGAATGAATTGATCAGAAGGATGGAGAAGTAGTCACAGCATTTTTTCCAAGTCCTCCCATTAATTCTGGTGCTGAAAAAAATGATGTGATGATTTCAAGAGCAAAGAAAACTCTATTCCCCACAAAAATAAGCAGAAAAAGATAAGATCCACCCAGATCAATTAAATGAGAGTCTCTAGTGGGGAGTTTGGGGCACTGGTATAGTTTTTAAAGTTCCCCCAGGTGATTCTAATGTACAGCCAGTGCCGAGAACCACTACCCTAAAGCAATTTCTAAATATGGTGCTTAAGCTTAATAATAATTTAAAAAACTATGTGTAATATTTAACATTGTAGGAATTCATGCATATACATTTGATGGGAGTGGAAGCACATTATAATACTTGAACAGAGTGCAGTTTGAACTTCAGAGAAACCTTGTCTTTACCGATTGGTCTCTGTGTGCCTTTGACCTGTCAGTGACAGCTGGCGACTGTGCACTTGAATTGTAGGGCTGGTTAATCAGACCCTTTGGGGAACTGAATTCTGAGAAACTGAAGTCATAAGGTCACAGCTCTGTGCGAGTGTTAATGAATGATTTGCATGCTGGTGAAACTGCGAATCTATTCCCTCACATTGTTTGCTGTGTTTGCCTCTTAAAATATAACTTAGCCACAGCAACCAGGCATTGAGAGCATTTCAAAATGCTCACTGTTACAAGGGCTTTTATAAGACCAAGATAAACCTGAGAAGAGTTAGTAGCTGAGATGTATGTGGCCCTTCCTCCCTGGTGACCCAGAAATCCAGAGGATGCGGGGCGTGGGGGGAGAGCTGAGGGCTGTGGTAAGAACTGGGCTCCAGGTATTGTGAGAAACACTGAAGAATTAACTCAAAATTTCTAACATTGCAGTTTCTATTGTACATTTTTGAGTGGCAGATTAGAATGTATATGGAACATGTTTGGGGGAATTTTTCCCCTAAAATCATAAAATTTTAAGAATTGAAGGACCTTTGGGAATCTAATCCACCCACTTCATTTTTACACATAAGCAAACTGATGCCCAGGTAGGATGAGTGACTTGTTCAAACTCACGGGGCTAGGAAAGGGCAAAATTAAGACAAATTTCTACTTCTGACTCCCAGTTCTGAGCTCTTCCCACCATAACATGCTATTTCTACTTTCTGTTGAAACTGTTCCGCCAATTTGTATGTTCCCCTAAATGTTTTTCAATTCCATAAGGCATTTATTTATTTAAATCCATCTTTAAAAATAAAACAACTCTGCCTTAAAACATTGCTCCCTGCCGTCTACCTATCCCCCACACCTCTCCACACACCCTTGCGTCTTTGCCACTACTCACTCCCCCAAACTCCAGGGCCTGGGTGTTCAGAGTCCTAGAGTGTGAAGTTGCAGGCATGAAACAGAAGGAGGCTGTAGAAGCTGGCAGGCATATGACCCTGGGTGAGAGGAGCTTAGAGGCTGTGTTAAGACATTTAGACAGTTGTCTACTTTGTGACACTTGTGTGAAGAATGGATTTGAAGGGGACAAGACTGGACGCAGAGAAGTTAGAAGGCTGATGCAGTGGTCAAGATAAATAATGAGAAGGTGAACTGATGAATTTAGGAGGTGAAATTGATAAAAACGTGATTGGATATAAGGGGAAAGGGAAATGGAAGAGTAAACAAGAATGACAGTGTAGCTTATAAATGGTGGTGCCACTAAATGAAAACAAGAATATTGAAGAGGGAAGGAAAAGATGCTAAGTTCACTTTTGGACATGTTGAGTTTGAAGTACAGATGTCTGGCAGAGTGTTGGGTATAGCCAGCGTGACACTCAGGGGAGAGGTCTGAGTCATGGATAGCAGACTAGTGCACTTAGGAAGTAGAAACCCTTCAGGATTTCTGGGTGCCTGAGGCAGAGCTACAGAAGACAGGACTTGGAGAAACAGACAGTACCCAACCTTGGTCTTTAAGATCTTAGATGCTGGACTAGGGCGTTGGAACTTCACCTTACAGGTTATGGGGCCAGTAAAGGATTTAAGCAACAGAATAGCATGAACAGATCTGATTTATAGAGATGAGATGACTTTGGTGGCAGTGTGGAAGGTCAATTTGGACAAAGGAAAGAGTAGAGGCAAATAGGCAAATGAAAAGTTATTTGAATAGAGAAGAATAAAAAATGGTTAAAACTTGAATGTATATGGCAACAACAAAGTCATGAGGGAGAGAAAGAGGCATATGATGCACACAAGGATAATTCCCAAATTCCACAAATATATGTGGCAGTATAAAATATAGTCCTACATGAATACTTGCAGGCTTCCACCCTCCTCTAACCTTCTATGTAGGGATTTCAAGCCTGTTTTGAGAGGAGAGAGGAGAGAATGAGATAGCTAGACCACCATGCTGTGAAAAGTGGTCAACTTTTTAGAGGAAATGGATGGGTAAGAGGCTTTTAGTGCATTCTGCTATGTGTCATTCTCTGTAATCACCCTTTGGTATTTGCGGGGAGATTACAGTAAAGATTTAACATTACTTTTCTTTTTTTTTTTTCTTATTGATGCTATACTGAGCAAAGTTGGTGCTTCAGATAGGAGCAGATTACTTTTATACTAATAGAATGAGTAGGACATAGTGGCCAATCAATTGTGGAAGGTGACAGAGAGGGAGGAGTCCAAGATGACTGGACAGTGACATTGGAATTCTGGTGATGTTTACTGACAAAGAAACGTGGTGTGGCAGGATCAGGGAAATGGCATCACAGTCCATTTTGATCACGAGGAGTTTGAGGAACTTGAGGGATGGCCAAGTGCAGAAGCCCAGCAGGTGATCACTGTTCCGTGACTATTCAAGAGATGGCCCTGAGCTGGACATAGAGACTCAGGATTCACTGGCATTTTTGTGGTATTGATCACAGCTGAATATACAAATATATGGGCAAAAGAAAATGAGATCAAGAGCAAGACTGTGGGGCATTTAAGGGATGGTCTAAGGAACAGCAGCTAAGGAAAGAGGCTGAGTAGACACAGTCGCATGTGAGGGAGAAAAGTCAGGACAGCAGGTGTCGTAGCGTCCAGGGGAGGAAAGTGTTTCAAGAGAGAGGGAGGAGTCATCAGTGTCAAATGTCACAGAGAAGTAAAGATAGTTGAGGGTTAAGTGACTGGATTTAGCAATTAGAATGAGCTATGGTCTGAATGTTTGTGTTCCCCAAAATTCATATGCTCAAATCCTAATCCCCAAGCTGATGGTACTAGGAGGTGGGGCCTTGGGGAGATGATTAGGTCCTGAGTTTGGAGCCCCCATGAATAGGATTAGTGCCCTTATCAGTGAAGCCTAAAAGAGACCCTTCGCCTCTTCTACCATGTGAAGATGCAGCAAAAAGGCACCGTCTATAAGGAAGTGGGTGCTCGCCAGAGACCCAATCTGCAGGCACCTTGATCTTGGACTTCACAGCCTCCATAATTGTGAGAAATAAATTTCTGTCTTTTATAAGCCCCCTAGTCTATGGTATTTTGTTATAGCATCCTGAACTAACACAGGAGGTGACAATTACTCTCTTAGCAAAGGCAATTTCAAGGGGATGATGGGGAAAGAATCCTGATTCTTTGAATGGGTAGAGGAAAGAATGAATGAGATGAGAGTAGAATACTCTCAGAAGCACCTGGTTTGTGAAGGAGAGAGAGGACATAGGATGGCATTAAAGGAGGGAGATACAAGGATAAAAGAGGCATTTTGGGGGGATATTTTGTTTGTTATTTATTTTGAAAATGATTGAGACTAGAGTAGATTTATAAATGAAGGGGTAGAAAGGCAGACTAAATTCATAGGAAAGTTGGATGTTTGTAGAAGCAAAGTCCCAGAGGACGGTAGCAAGGATAGGAATTCAATGCCTGAGTGCAGAGTTTATACTTAGACCAGAGAGAAGGATGTGGGGCAGAGGGTTGCAGATGACAAGAGGATTGGTGAAAAAGTTGGGGTAGTGAAGGGCGTTCACAGCAGATGGCAATAAGGAGATAACAGGGGGGGATATTCTGGAGTCCATACTCAACTTGAATAGTAGGTATAATTTCCTTCAAGAAGCAAAGTGGGGGTTTTGAATTCCCACCACACTCTGTGCTAGGGCTTAGTAATACAGGATGAATAGCATGCCATGACTCTCACCTGCAAACTGCTGAACTTTTGTCCCTGCCTCTCTTCCCACTTACCCTTTCTTCCCATCTCTCTGTCCTTCTTTTGTTTTATTCCTCTCTCGTCTGTATTTCTTCTCCCTCTTTCTGCCTCTGCCATGGGCCCCTTTCTGCCTCTTCTTCCGGTCTCCTTATCTGCACCTGCAACACACTTGACTCCTTCTGTTCCTTTTCCCTTTTTCCCTTCCTCAAAATAGCCCAAACAAGGAAACAAAGGTGTTTTCTTAGCCTCTTATATTTATTGATTAAATATTTGTTCCCTCTGTTTAATTTTTGAAATAAATAAGGTGAAATTTTTATGCTTCTTTCTCTAAAACTAAAGGTGTATGAGTTTCAGTTAGCTTTGCCTCTGTTGATTCATGACCGTTGATGAAATAAACCTTCCCCCACCTCTGTTAGGGCCCATGTGGAAGGAAGTAGAATGTTTTATTTGCAACAGACCCAATGTTTATTTTATGCATACTGGTGACTCCATGAGAAAGAGAGGGCTATATGATAGTCTTCAAGACAGTAATATGCTTTCCAAGTTTACATGCATTGTACTAGCAAATAAAATATAAAGAACAAGAAAAAAAAACAGAAAGTGCATATCAATATCCATACATTCAGTATTACAATTGAAATTCAAGTGATGGGGGAAATTGTTTAAAACCTGGCCAAAGAACACAGATTGCTTCTGGAAATGTCATGCTTCATGCTGTCCGTTGCTAGCCAAGAAAATCAGTGTCCTCTTCATTCCTCTGGCCTGGCAACAAAGAGAACTGAAAGCCCCATGTCGTCCTGGTAACAGCAGGTGACACTCCCCAGACTGCTAAGAGGGCCCTACTCAGCCCACACATGGCACCACAGGTCCTAACTCTGGCTGTGGTCTCTTTGGAGCAGAAATACAACTGGGTTTGACACTGACTTTGGCTTCAGGCTAGGAGTTTTCAACTGTGCTTCCACAGAACCAACCCTCAACATTGACGACGATTTCTGTGGAAAGCGGTTATGTAAAACTTGAATCCACTGTTGCAAGCTGAATTCTGAGCCTGGTCTGATGACAGCCTAAATGGTGGTGTCATTACCTTTATAAAATAGTGCTCAAATTTTATAACTTCTAAATAGCACCTTTAATTCTAATAGCACTTCTTGCTTAAATGTTTTGACATGCCCTTTCTAAAGAAATCTTTAATTTAAAAAAATATTTAATTTTTACAAGAGAAAAATTAGAACTGGAAGGAAAGAATCTTCAGAGAGCCCCAGGATACGAAGCTGATGAGGGCAGCCCAGAAGAAGTTCAGTTTCAGACGCCCAGAAATGCAGGCTGCCTTGGAAGGGTGGGAGCACGCCCCCCCCCCAGGGGTGATGATTCAGCAGCCCAGGGATTTGAGAACATAGTGGATTGTGTGAGTGAGCTTCACAGCTAGCGATGAGGCAAGAGCTGGAAAGCAGCCCTTACAAAAGTATAGAGAGGACCAAATTTGTCTTTTTGTTTTCAAACCTTTTCAACTGTTTCACAGATGCTCACTGCAGACTGCACTGCATGCTCCTCACACTCTCCTTTCCTCCCGTGCCTGGATCATTGCTGTCTTTCACAGAAGAAATGAAAATATCTAATAAAATAATTCACAGTAAATTACTAATTAGAGGGAAACTAACGTCATTCCATTCTTTTGGTAGTATTTACATTTTACTTGTTTTTTTTTTTTTTTTTTGAGACAGAGTCTCACTTTGTTGCCCAGGCTAGAGTGAGTGCCGTGGCGTCAGCCTAGCTCACAGCAACCTCAAACTCCTGGGCTCAAGCGATCCTCCTGCCTCAGCCTCCCGAGTAGCTGGGACTACAGGCATGCACCACCATGCCCGGCTAATTTTTTCTATATATATTAGTTGGCCAATTAATTTCTTTCTATTTATAGTAGAGATGGGGTCTCGCTCTTGCTCAGGCTGGTCTCAAACTCCTGAGCTCAAACGATCCACCCATCTGCCCACCTCAGCCTCCCAGAGAGCTAGGATTATAGGTGTGAGCCACTGCACCCGGACAGTATTTACATTTTAAAGGAGAGCCTTAGAAAGCAGTGCCCAACCCAAAGAAGATAAAATTTTGAGAATTTCAGCTGGCATGGCAGGCAATTGGGGAGGTGGTTGGGAGCAGGAAGCACATACTCCTATTCCTAGGGACAGTCCCATGGTGGTTACCTATTCACCATGTTTTGTGAAAAATGATCTTGTGGCATAGATCCATCAAAATTATTTGGAAGTGGTATCTACATTGTCCAAAAGGACCTCGAACCTGTGTTTTCCCTTTCTTTCAGCCCACTTCTGACACCTAAACCCTGTGCTTGATTTCTTAAGAGAGTCCCAAGGCAAAAGTGGCTACAAATGTAAACAGAGTACTTTTATGTAGGTCTGATACCATGAATATTTAAAAACAAAACAATGTCAGGCCCCAGTTTGGCCATTCTTCAGAGTTGAGATCATCAAGTCCCTGTGCAGTTTATTTTGGCAGTTTGATAGGACCAGAGCTCCCTTCACAAAGGGTTAGGCTCTCCTCATATCTAGTTTAAGATGGCTTTCTGTTAAATAAATAATTTTTGCTTGCTAACTTATGCTTTTCTCTCACTTTTCCCCCTTTCCCTCTCCCATGTACATTTCTCAGGACAAATGTTGCCTTTCACTTCACTGCCAGCCCCTCTCAACCTCAGGTAAGTGAAGGGTTCCAAGAGTTATCAAGCATTTACCTGTGGGTTTTGCCCAAAGAAACCATGGTAACAGGCAGAGTCAGCATGTGGTGTTGCTATTAGTCTTTCACAACTTGAGATATATTTGTATTCTGGTTTGTTATTCATGTTACTGGGATTTTGGATACAACAACATTTAATCTTATCAACTTAACTGGTGTAAAATGGGAGGCATGATATTTTTTTTCAGGTGTTCCTTGGTTCAACCTTCATTGAGCAAATCCTGTGCCTACTTTGTGCCAATCCCTAGCCCCAGTTTGGTCATTCTTGAGAATTGAGACTGCCAAGTCCCTGTGCAGTTGATTAGACCATACCTGGTGCTGGGGACACAAGGATGAAGTAGAGAGAGACACAACTCCGGCCATTATGGATCTGGTAGTCGGAAAGAAGGGGAACAGGAAGTGGAAGACTGACACTAAACAGCTACACAAATAAGAACTGATCTGGAAATGCAATAAAAATAAGACTGATTTTAATTTTTATTGTTATGGGTAAAATAAATTAGTTCCACATGCAACATGTTATATTAACCTGTTATAAATTTATTACAATCACTGATGTCCTGGTAAATATTTAACAACTGGTTCTCAGAAAGAAAGCTCTCCTTTGTAGTGATTGCCCATTTCTGTGATGTAAATACCTCCATCATGGGTGATTTAAAGCTGCCACTCTAATGTTGTGGAACATTGAGTTCAGAAGAGACTCAGAACAATCATTTCTCCCAAACCTATACGAACCAACTCCCACACATTTTTTAAGAGTTTTATTTCCCCATTCAATGAAAGTCTCTGCAGTACATATATACTGCCACCCAGTGGCAAGAGAGGCCCACAGGCCCACAATCTATTGCCCTCAACATTTATTGACCATTTAATCTCAAGTATTTAGAAAGCACTAGTTACAAGGTGGAATGGGAGATACCTAAAAAAGAAGGGGAACAAATTTCATTCCAACTACAGAAAAAGTACAGTCTAATAGTTCTGCACAAAGCTATAAAAAATATGATATACTGAATGTTGTATTCGCTATTTGATATAACGGAAGAGCTTATGGACTGAAAAGTCAGTGACAATTATATATTATGGCTTCTTTTTATTTTTAAAAAAATGTAAATAGTAAAGCCCAAATAATTTGCATATAAACCTCAAACTGGAGTAAAATATTCTTAAAACACACTAATAAAACAAAACAAATTCCATGATATCTATGAAAGTCTCACTTTACTCTTAATTGTTCCCATTTTAGGCTTGTATTTTATATCCTCTTTGACTCGGGAAAGGTTTTCTGTTTCTATAAACTCACCCAAAGGACTGCACCTTCTCAGATAACCTGTGTCAATCACTGCCTCTATTTCTGTAGACAAAAGGAGGTTGCAGAAACTGGGCAGGTAAACAGGCCCCAGCTGGTAATTTTTAGCCTAAATTCCAGTCATTTCTTTGGATACTTGTCATTTGCTTCTTTTGTTAAAAGTTGATTGTCAGGGCAGGGGTCAAAATATTTATTTGGGGTTTATGTTAACCCAGAGATAAACAAGGTTGATAATACTTTGACATTTAGTTAAAGCTCCAGTAGGTGTTTACTGCTCACACAAAATCAGTTACTATCATATATAGGAACATATATGATGTTCATTATTGCTAATAGTAATTATAATAATGCTTTTGAGTTACAAAATATGGTTCCCCTGAGAACCAAGAACACCTCTTAGGGATTCCAGTCTACTCATCTTCTGAAGAGCCCTGTATTATATGTATTTGAATCAAGCTCCAAAATGAAGTGGGCTCTTGGGGGTATTGCCATCTGTTATGAGGTATGAATAGATTTCCAAATAGCATCATTAATGACACTCCTTAATCTTGAGATGATTTTGTTTCCCCATTAGAAAGCTTTGGATTATTGAAACACATTCTATTTTTATTGCCCTAGTTCTCAAAATAGTGTTAGTGAAGAAGATGTTGGAAAACAAAATTAAGTTGTAACATATTTTGCCTCTCTTTTAAAGTGGTAAGTTTATTAGAGTCTTAGGATATTAAGCTTGTTTGTGTTGGTTCCCTCAAAATATTTATCATAAGCTTAACACAGCTTCTCAACCAGTTACTGTATTTGTAACTACAGGGCAGAATTCCCCTTTCCTCATCGTTAGCAACATGTTTACAATTTAGAGTTCATAGATTTTTCCAGTAGATTCATAATCTAAGTAGGTAAACAGTATAACCTCTTTCAATTAGAAATATTTCCTTAGAAGGAATAGGATCAAAAAAGAAAGAAAGAAAAAGAAAGGCCAGGCGAGGTGGCTCACGCCTGTAATCCTAGCACTCTGGGAGGCCAAGGTGGGCGGATTGCTCAAGGTCAGGAGTTCAAAACCAGCCTGAGCAAGAGCGAGATTCCATCTCTAATAAAAATAGAAAGAAATGAATTGGCCAACTAAAAAATACATAGAAAAAATTAGCTGGACATGGTGGCGCATGCCTGTAGTCCCAGCTACTCAGGAGGCTGAGGCAGGAGGATGGCTTGAGTCCAGGAGTTTGAGGTTGCTGTGAGCTAGACTGATGCCACAACACTTTAGCCCAGGCAACAGAGTAAGACTCTGTCAAAAAAAAAAAAAAAAAAAAGAAAGAAAGAGAAAAAGATAAAGAGAGAAAGAGAGAGAGAAGAGAAGAGAAAGAAGAGGAGAGGAGAGGAGAGGAGAGGAGAGGAGAGGAGAGGAGAGGAGAGGAGAGGAGAGGAGAGGAGAGAAGAGAAGAGAAGAGAAGAGAAGAGAAGAGAAGAGAAGAGAAGAGAAGAGAAGAGAAGAGAAGAGAAGAGAAGAGAAGAGAAGAGAAGAGAAAAAGAAATGTTATGAACATATTTCAAGGGACTATATGTAGGGCTTGATCTTTGAATCTGAATGTCTTCTCAGTACTTTCCAGCCAACAAATAGAGTCTTTCACAGAAGATCTAGGGGAAGGATTGGTCAAGTGCTAATTCTTGCCTATGAGAAGGCAGTTAAAATTGTTGAAGAACAGGCTTACCTGCTTTTCAACATGGAGCTTCATATTTCACAATGACCACACAGAAGTAAATTTTGTCTCAGGCTATATCCTGCATGCCTCTAATTCAGAGGGGTAGGGGTGGAGTTTCTTAATCAGGAAATGGATTGAAGTGTGGCAAAGTTTGGTTGAGAAAGAAATGATCATATCATAGAAAAACGAAATGGCAACGTTGGCTGAAACGGCTACTTTGTCTTATCACCACTGTGTTCCTAACGTCTGGCACAGGGCCCTGCACAGAGCAGTTAGTTACCCAACATATCTGAGGTAAATGGCTGGCTGAATTAATAAATGGAGATTCACTGAAATTTACATATGAATTTTGCATCTGATAGTAGAGGAAACAATCCTATAATACTGAAAATATTAAGAAATGTCTTTCTTTTTCTTATTCTCAGTATTTTCTGTACAAGTTTCCCAAAGACGTGGACTCAGTCATCATTAAAGTGGTGTCTGAAATGGCTTATCCATGTTCTGTTGTCTCAGTCCAGAATATCATGGTGAGTGCCAACAACCTGTCAGCCTAGTATGGAATATAGAGCATTATATTAGCATTATCCCGGAGCAAATGAAAGAGAGGGGTGGGAACTGTGTATCTCCCCCCAAACTGCCAAATAACAAGAATAGTATCTGTGAACATGGAGTGGGCAGTCCATGTTTTCGGACATTGATTTAGAGAGATAGGGAATAATTGACTTCTCACCAAAATCTACAAAGAAGAGAAGGAAGGAAGGAGGGAGGGAGGGTCATGACAAAAAACAAACAAGACCAAGTTGTCTCTGTTCCACAGAGAAATAAAATAGAAACCTACCATTTGTTTTTAAATTTTTATTGTAACATTGGGTCCTTTCTGTCTCATGAGGTGTTAACAAAAAATGGGAAAAAATGTTACACTCTTTAAGACAACCCGTTTATAGTTCTTTTCAATATAAGGTGACTGACTTTAGAGGAGAAGGCACCAAGTTTTAGGACTATTTAATGACTATTCTTGGGGGGGAAATTTTCACAGTTTCTGTCTTAGTAGGGCCCCCCTGCTCTGTGATCCAGGTGAAAGGCCCTGACAGTACCTGGGTGTGGCATGACATTATATGACATTAGGGGTGCTTTCCTTTTTATCTCCCATGCATGCAACAGTGCCCGGTGTATGATCTCGACCACAACGTGGAATTTAATGGTGTCTATCAGTCCATGACCAAGAAAGCAGCCATCACGCTACAGGTGAGACATCATTTCTGTGGTCATTATTGTCAACGACAACGCTCAACTGATAGTCAGTTTATCTACTAGGCCGGCACCCCAGTGGGATGGCCATCCACTGTGTGCCTTGGATCTCCTTCCTTTCTGATTGGTTTAAAAACTAATATTATTATACTACGCCTGAAATCAAAGCTTGGGTAAAGGAAGACAATGCTACTCTGCCAGGTACCCTTTTTCCCATGGGGATTCTGGTGCAATGGGACATACATCTGGCAGATTGCTTAAAGATGTAGGGCCAGAATTCCAATCTCCTCATTGGGCATGCCAATTTAGGGTGAAGTTTATTATATCCATTTAAAGCAATTATATTCTATACCAGTATCAGGAAGTAAAAGACTTCAACTCTGGACAGAATAAACAGGTTCAAAGGAATATGAACCATATTTTTGCAGCAGTGTACCCTTTTGGTATTTGTAATTAAATGATCATTTCAGTGGTCATTCTTTAGCAAAAACATACACACACCATGTCAGCATATTTGTGAAGGGATTCTGTCCCTGCCTTTGGGGTGATATTTACTTGAGGTACCTGCAACTTGACCTGTTCTTTAGGGTAAGGTGATACTGTTTATTGAAAACAAGTAAAGAGTGAAGAAAAGTTAATTATAATTTATGCATCAGACCTAAAAATTTCTATCAGTTAGGCTTTAATTTTTGAGGGCCTCAGATTTAATATCACAAATATCTGCTCCTGTTTTAGAATTTATTTCTTCCTTAGCATTCCAGCATTAGGTGTTCCCAAATTAAAAAGGATGATAAAACAACCATAATAGGGAACTTCATATTTTATATAACCCAGGACACTAAATTAATGAAGAGCAAAGCATATTAGTACATGTTTACCTTGGATGTGTTTGCCAATAAATTGTTACTTCTCTTTTGGACCCATGCTTCAATCTTGGGCCATTTTCTCAGTGATAACAGAAATCTGGGGATGATTAAGAGAAAAGACAGAGTTGTAGAACTATAATGGATCTTAAAGAGCATCTTGTCAACCACACTTCATCATGGATGAGGAAACAGGCCTCAGAGAAAGTGAAAGCCAGGACGATAACTCAGATCTGACTTGAGTCCTTTCCCTCTCTAACCTAAATTATTTATTTAACTATTGACTGAATGACTTTTAGAAAGTTATTTATCCCTCATGCATGCTACATTAGATTTTAAAATAAAACTTTAATATACAGTATTAACTATTAAACACAAGTTATTGACATACTATTTATATGGTGTCTGTTATAGTTCTAAGCACTCAAATGGGCACAAAACTGATTGAAATCAGAACAGTGTATCTATTCACTTTAATTTCCTGGATGTGACAATTATCTCATTGCGGATAATCTGGAGTAGATCATGGGTATGTGAAAGTCCTTTCTAAAGAGTTAGAGGGCAGGGCTGAACTTTACTTTCTTCTCTTTCCTCTTTCTTTCTGCCCCCTAACCTCAGGGACTTTCTCCCTTCCTCTCGCTATCTTTCTTACCTGCCTATCATAAGGTTGTTATGTCTTATGCAGAAGAAGGATTTTCCAGGAGAGCAGTTCTTCGTGGTGTTTGTGATAAAGCCTGAAGATTATGCCTGTGGAGGATCTTTCTTCATCCAGGGTAAGAGCTCATGAGGAGTACGTAGCTATTTAGAAAAACCTGAGGGTGCCTTTGTCTTCAAGTTGAGGAAGGAAGGAAAGAAAGAAAGAAGGAAGGAAGGAAAGAAGGAAGGAAGGAAGGAAGGAAGGAAGGAAGGAAGGAAGGAAGGAAGGAAGGAAGGAAGGAAGGAAGGAAGGAAGGAAGGAAGGAAGGAAGGAAAACATGAAGGAAGGAAGGAAAACATGAAGGAAGGCAATGAAAGGGAAACCAAAAGTTCATCTCTAGTTCCCACTAAGTAAGTGTCCCTCAGCAGTAACTTGTCAAGGCAGTCTGAGAGATATTTGAGAAAAAAACAAAAAGACGAAAATAATACATCTAAAGGTATTAATGACACTACAAAATATCATTTAGTCCATTTCATCTTTTCAAAGTCTTGTATTCCCTCACGCCATGTAAGGTAAGTTCACCCAGTTAACTCTTTACTCAATAAATATTTGCTGCCATGAAGTAATGATCTTACACAAAGGATCAAGTTTCATTTCCTAAGATCAGTAGCTAGCAGTAATGGAGCCACTTATATTTATGAGTAGTCATCATTTCCACAAAGATGTCAAGGAAAATTCAGAGTTCTCCATTCCAGTTGCCCAAATTGTACCTTGCAAGATAGTAAGAAAGCCAAATGTAAAACTTATCCCAATGATAAGGTGTTGCATGAGCTCTTAGGCATAATTCAGATAGTTATGGATAACTACTCAGTAACTACCTTGGAAATAGAAGAGGCTATTTATTGACAACACAGACCACCAGCCACTGATGAACGATGTGTGACCAACACAGAGGATGTTTAAGGTGGAGTGCAATATGGTTCCCGTGGTATTTAGGTGAAATTTCTGCTGGTATGTTTTTTATCTCTTAATCACATACCTCTAGAGTTTTACCAATGTCCAATGTTCCTTGTAAACTACAAGCCTTTGATGACTATATAAGGGGAAAAAACTCACTGGCTAGAAAAATGCAAACCAAAGAAAGAGGTAGCTTTCTATTTTTGCAGCTGTTTTCTTCAGATGCCTGTGGATGTCAGGGGCAGGGTCAATCCTTCATTGGAGAAGGGAGCTACAATCTCACATGCATCAACTAGATGCTACGAAAGTGCACCCAAGCAAAGGCCAAATGGAGAGAGTCTTAACCAAAATGGATATTAGATAGTTTGAAGGTTTAGGGGTTGGATTTTCCTCCAGTTCTTGCTAAAATAAGATTCTGCAGCCAGAGTTAATTCTGGACTTTTTTTTTAACAACTGTTCAAAAGAGAGGCCAAGAATCTAGTATCTGATTCACTGAGACTTGTTCTTTTTTTTTTTTTTTTAACCAGAAAAAGAGAATCAGACCTGGAATCTACTACGAGCAAAGAACCTTAAAGTGACCATTGTTCCTTCTATCAAAGGTCAGTGTTAGCTCCAGAAAGTTTTGGAGAGATTCCTGCATCAGGAAATCTATCATACAATTTAATACTAATATCATCCTTCCAGAGAAAATCATCATCAGAAAACTAAAAGTATATTTACCTTAGGGATAGAAAAGAGAATCAGAGCATTTTGTGAAATCTCTTCCAAAAAGGAAGGAAACTCCATTATGAAATTGTATACAGGCAGTCCTTCCCAGCTTCTACTGGGAAGTCATCACTGTGAAAAGCAGCCACTCATGGATAACGTTAGGGTGGAAAACTCAGCAGGTGCTCGCAACATGGGTGGAGAAATATTTCTTGCATGGAGATAAGGATATACAAATATAAAATTTATTTTATCTTCTTTGAAGGAGAGAGAGAGAGCACAAGAGTGGGAAAGAGAAAAGGCAAATAGAGGGGAAAAGAGAGAGGAGTTCTGTGTTGAGGCACTCAAAAGAGAAGAGAAGTGCTGGTGCAAAGGCCGAGAGAGAGAGAGAGAGAGAGAGAGAGAGAGAGAGAGAGAGAGAGAGAGAGAGAGAGCGAGAGCGAGAGCGAGAGCGAGAGCGAGAGCGAGCTCACTTTTCTGTTATTTTGCTAGCAAGACGGTCCCTTCAGATAGTGTCTGGGTGACCTCCAGGAGCATTGCTGCTCTGAATGAGAATTTCTTAGGACTTAAGAATAGGTGTGATGGAGGTGGGCCCTTTAAGCTGTTCTGTCTCAAACATAATCTTCTTTGCTCCTGAGGACAACCTGACCAAAGTTGTTTCTCTCCCCTCAGAATCCGTTTATGTGAAATCCAGTCTCTTCAGCGTCTTCATCTTCCTGTCCTTCTATGTGGGATATCTGCTCGTTGTGTTTGTTCATTGTGTGAGGTAGGTTAAAGGTTTCCAGAAACGTTAACCCCCTTTGCCTGTCTCTGTGTGGTGATTAGAGCAGAGCAGGGGCTGTAGAGCCGAGTCACTGGCTCCAAGTCGACCTCAGCCACTATGTGACCTTTGGCAAGTCACTTAACTATCTGTGCTTCAGTTTCCTCATCTGTAAAAAGAGATAACTTACCTTACAGAGTTTTATATCACTGCAGTGTTTACACCAGTATGCATATAGTAAGTGCCGGCAGAGTGTTGGTTATTTCCATAGTCAATGAAACCTCAACAACAACAACAAAAAAGGCAACTTGTATATTTTTTTAGACCAGAAAATACTCATTGTAAATCCTACAGAAAGTAGGAACTGATCAGTTTTTCCTAACATGGAGGTGTAGAAAGAGCCTTAAACATTCTATCAAAAAGTAAATTTAATGGCTAAAATAAATCTTGAGGTACAATAGATAGCAGGAGTAATTTGCTTCGATACCACATTACCAGGAGCTTTCCTGCTGTTGTGGCAACAATTTTGCAGTATATGTGCCCTGGGAGGAAAAAGGGGAGATAATTGTGCTGCAGTGTGAGCAAGGAAATTTCCCTTCACAGGAGTTTGGAGCCCCTGATGAAAAGAGCACCAGGCTTCCCTGGCCTCTCACAGCAGGGCCAAACCTTGAGAATTCCATTCTTTGTCGTGCTGTCCTTTCACCACTACAAAAGAATGGCTGGAGGTTTACAGTAAACAAATGTTCTTTCTCCTCTTGAACACGTAAAGAAAACAAAGCCACATTAGGGTTTTGAGGCTGTTAGCCAAGATTAACTCCATCTGGAGAAAGACCTTATGTCTACCTCAATGGTACAACTACCTATCTTAATGATGGGGGGTGGGGGGCTACCTCTGACTCAAAAATAACTCCCCTCTGTGACCTTTGTGAATCTTTTGCAATGAGATACTGCTTTGGAGAACAGTAGATGACTACTGGCCAAATCTGGGACAATTTGAGCACCAAAATTATTGAGAATAATGAATTACAAACCATTGGGAAAAATTTGAAATTCATGAGCCTATATTCATAAAGAAAGGAAAGACCTCAGATATACACTCAATGAATTCAACAAATTTACTAAAACAGGTTCCCATTGGGGAAAGGAGCCCTTAGCAAATACTGGCAGTGGAAGGGAGAACTCTTCATATGGCAGGATGCCAAGAGCTGACTGGTAAATATGGAGGGAGTGCTGGAATTGGAAAAAAAATCATCATTTTGCAAACATCATATTTAAGACTGGACCAGGTTAAGAATCATCAATGGATGCTAAATCTAGGGGGAGAAATTGGGTGACAATCAAGATGTTTATAAGGCCTTAAGGTGTATCCTCAAAAACTGCTTAATAGTTGTAAGTAAAAAAACAGTAAATGTACTATGAAGAAATCAAACACATTGACTGGGTGATCACAATCAGTATCACCACGGGGAAGGTGAACATTGTGTGCCCCCAGACTGACGCCCTGGGAAGGACACAGTGTCACTGATGTGGCATTCCAGAAGTGCATGTTTTGAATCTAATCATGTGGAAAAATTAACGGAACTCAAATGAAAACATTCCATTAAAATGTGTCGTAAAAGACAAAGAAAGGCTATGAAAGTGTTCCAGATTAATGGAGACTAAAGAGATATGACAACTAAAGACAATCCCTGATCTCAGGCTCTAGTACTAAAAGAAAAACATACTTATAAAGGACATTATTGGGTTGGTTGACAAAATTGGAATACAGATAGATAAGACTATCACATCAATGTTAAATTTGTAGAATTTGATAACTGTATTGTGGTTGTGTAAGAGAATATCTTTATTTTTTTTTAATATTTAGAGATAAAAGTCCATGATGTATGCAACTTATTTTCAAATAATCCATAAAATGCATATATATATATCTTGATACATATATCATATCTATATTATATATATATATATACACACACACACACACACATATGGAGAAAGAGAATGATAAAAGCCGGTGGAGTATATGCTAACAATAGCTATATCTAGGTAAAGGGTACATGGGTGTTCAATGTTCTATTCTTATTCTTGCAAGTTCTCTATAAATTTGAGATTATTTGCAAACAAAAAGTGAAAAACAAAAACCCAGGCTACAGGCAAATATTATACCTGGAAAGCATTAATATTAACTGATTAGCAGCTCAATTAATTTATCAAGTCATAGTCACTAATATTTAACAAGTACCTGCTCTGTGCCAGGCAGTATGCTGAGCCTCTAAGTAGATTATCTCCTCTGGGGTGCCCCCAACAGTGGGTGGGTACAATTAATTATCACCATGTGACAGTTAAAGAGATTGGGGCACAGAGGGATTAAATCATTTGACCAAGAATTCACAGTCAGGAAATGAAGGAGCTAGGATTTGAACTCAGGCAGTCTGGATCCAGAGCCTTAGGTCTGAAGAGGCTGATCAGGATAGGTCTGGAGGTCAGGGTATGTGAGGGAAGACCACTGGCACCCTAGCAAGGATCTGATTGAAAAAGCATTCAAAATGCTTCCAATTTTGCCTAGGATGAGCTCCAATGTCATGGAAAAGAAGTTCCTCTCTTCTGCTTCTCATAGGAAGGCTGTCTCTACTCCTGATGTTTTAGATTTTAGAAAACAGGATTGCTCCTCTTTAGTTAGTTAGTATGCATAATTAACATATAAACAGACAAAAAATTAAATTAATAGCTAGTCATCAATCTCTCTGCAGTTGTTGCTTAGCCAACTGAAGCAAGCACAGTTTTTGAAAGTTGTGGTATAAGACTGTTAAAACTTCTAACTTGCAGATTATTTTGCTGCAGTTGAATGCACAAGCATAGATTTTTTTTTTTCCAAATATAGATAAACTGGAAATAGAAATCTGGAGACATGAGAACTATTTGGCACTCTAAACAGAGGAATAGACTGAAAAAATGCTAATAGGAGAACTCATCCTTCATTAAAAAAGCAAAATAACAAAGTTTTCTACAAAAACATATGAAGCCAGTTCTCTCAGCATAATGCCATTCACTTGACGAGTCTCCTGTACCTTATTATTAATACATATGGGTTTTGTAGTACATGCTATGAGATCAGGATGGAAAACATTGATAAGAGACATAGCCCCTACCTTCAGGGAGCTGAGAATCCTAAATGTCTTCATGCTGTATTGGCCTGAACTTAAACACTGTTCCCTTCGTATCCCCCAGCCCCAGTCCATTCAACATGTATTTATTAAGCCCACTACAGTGAATGTGCAGGCTCTGGGCCAGGCACGGCACATGTGTTCTCTTATTTATTCTACTCAACCACCCTGCCAGACATCGAGTCCAAACTGTCCAATCCTAAGTACTCATCCTTGCCTTTGATTCTTCTACTAGTTATCCATTGCTACAATAATGCTACATTCTAAAAAGCCACAAAAACTCCCGTGGCATACAGCAATAAATATTTAAGTTTATATGAGTTTATGGGTCAGCCGGATAGTTCTGCTAATCTGGGCTGGGCTCAGAGATCCCATCCAGGTGTGATCTGCTGGCAAGTCAGCCAGGAACTGGCTCTCCTAGGCTGGCCTCAGCTGCACTTGGTCTCTCCTTTTCCATCAGGCTGGCCTGGGCTAATTTGTCTCTAAGAGAGATCACAGAAGGGTGCACGGCCTCCTTAAGATGTAGGTTCAGAAGGAGTACAATATCACTTCTCCCTCATTCTACTGGCCAAAATAAGTCCTGATGCCAGTCTAGATTCAAGAGATGAAGATGTAGATGCTACCTTTTGGCTGATTGAAGGTGCTAGATACAAGATGAGATGCAGCCGTTTTGCAATCAATTTAGTATAGTTCTCATTTGCTATTGTTCCCTTTATTCACTGTATACTGCCTGCCTCTTCCTAGCTTTATAAATCATTTAACTGCTCTAATGAAAAATTTTTAGCAGTTCCCAAACCTGGTGCAAAATGTGGGTAAAGCCCATTAATACAAACACATAATCCAAACACATCATCTTCTATGAGTCCATATAATTGCTTGCCAGTCAATATCACTAAATTTTTTAAAAAGAAACTTTACCACAGCCTCTTTTGCCAGCTAGAAGAGTCAAGCCAAATCATAACTGCTTTCCCTTTTTCTTCTCTTTTCTTTTTTTTTTTTCTTTTATCTACTCTCCTTAGTGATGTGCTTTGGTCATTCAACAAATATTTAGTTATCATCTCCTATGTGCCAGCCATGTCCTAGAGGTTAGAGATTCAGTAGTGAACAAAGCAGTCTAGATCCCACTCTGATAGTGCTTATACTGTAAAGGGGAGAAACACACAAGGAAGTGAGCAATTAATAAAGAGAATCATTCCAGCTAGTGGCAAGAGGAAAATGAACCCAGTGGTGTGAGACAGAATTATTGGATTGGGGAAGGGGCTTTGGGTTTGATTTGGTCAACAGGGAAGCCCTCTCAGAACCAGGACCTGAGTGGCAAGGAGCCAGCCACTTAAGGATGCAGGGAGAGGGGGCTTGGGTAGAGAATAAGAGCAAAGGCCTTGAGGCAGAGATAAGTTTGGTGTGACTGGGAACAAAAGAGGTATAAAGAGAAGTTCTTCTACCAAACATACCGGGATCAGGGTATGCAACTCCTAAGGTCTCCAACTGGACGTAAATAAGAACATGTACCAAAACATGAGCAGGTCTGGCCCCCAACTTTGCTCCCCTACCAACCTCATTCTGGGAGAAGAGGGTAATTCATATTTTAATTTTTGACAGATATTCCCAAATAATATACCTGGCTTGTTAATAACAGCTTTATTGAGATATAATTCATAGACCATAAAATTACCCCTTTGAAGTACACAATTCAGTGATGTTTAGTATACATAGTTGCACAACCGTCACCACTATTTAATTCAGAATATTTTTATCATTCCAGAAAGAAATCATGAGTTCAACAAGATTGTAAAATACAAGATCAACATACAAAAATCAGTTGTATTTCTATATACTAGCAATGAACAATTAAAAAAGGAAATTAAGAAAACTATTCCATTTCAAAAAACATCAAAAATAACCAAATACTTAGGAGTAAACTTAACAAATGAAGTGTAAGATTTGTACATTGAAAACTACAAAATATCATTGAAAGAAATTAAAGAAGACCTAAATAAATAGAAAGACATCCCATACTCATGGATTGAAAGATTTAATATTGTTAAGATGGTGTAGTGGACAGATGTCCATGTCTTAATCTTCAGAACCTGTGAATATGTTACCTTACATGTCACAAGGAACTTTGTAGATGTGATGAGGTTATGGAGATTATCTTGGATTATCCACATGAGCCTGATATTAATATAATCACAAGGATCCTTATGAGGAAGAAAAGAAGGTCAAAGGGAGAAGGAGATCTGAGACATGACAAAGCAGAGGTTGGAATGATGTACTTTGGACATAGAGGAAAGGGGCCCTGAGTCAAGAAACACCTCTAGAAGCTTGAAAAGGCCAGAAAATGAATACAGGAGGAATACAGCCCTGGGTCACCTTGATTTTAGCCACATAAGACACATTTTAGTATTATGACATCCAGAACTATAAGATAATAAATTTGTGTTGTTTTAAGCCACTAAATTTGTGATAGTTGGTACAGCAGCAATAGGAAACTAATATATATAGCAATACTCCCTAAATTGACCTACAGATGCAACACATTTGCTATCAAAGTCCCAGGTGGCTTTTTTACAGAAATTGACAAACTGACTTTAAAATTCATATAGAAATGCAAGGGTCCCAGAATAGCCAAAACAATCTTGAAAGGAAAAGAACATTGGAGGACTTACACTTTCTTATATGAAAACTTATTACAAATCAAGATTCTAATGCTGATATAAATAAAGACATATAGATCAAGAGTATAGAATTGCAAGTTCAGAAAGAAACCTTTATGGTCAATTTTCAACAAGGATACCAAGACAATTCAATGAAGAAATATATATAAGAAATATATTTAATTAAATATATAAGAAAGATATTTAAGAAATATATATTTCTTTTCAACAAATGGTGCTAAAACAACTAGATATCCACATGAAAAAGAATGATATTTCTTTCTATACACCATATACAAAAATTAACTCAAAATGGATCAAAGACATAATTATGAGAGCCAAAACTATAAAACTCTTAGAAGAAAATATAGGTATGTAAATCTTCATAACTTTAGATTAGGCAATAATCTCTTAGACACCAAAGGCACAAGTAACAAAAGAAAAAAATAGATAAATTGGCTGTCATAAAAATGAAAACTTTTGTGGGTTTTTCTTGGTGGGGAAGTTGTTTTATTTTGTTTGCTTTGTTTTTGAGACAGAGTCTTTCTCTGTTGACTGGTCTAGAGTGCAGTGATCTTTTCACAGCTCAGTGTAACCTCCAACTCCTGGGCTCAAGTGATCCTCCTGCCTCAGTCACCTGAGTAGCTGTGACTACAGGCATGTACCACCATGCCTGGCTAATTTTTTCTAATCTTTGTAGAGACAGAGTCTAGCTATGTTGTTCAGGCTGGTCATGACCTACTGACCTCAAGCAATCCTCTCACCTCAGCCTCCCAAAGTGCTAAGATTACAGGCATGAACCACCATGCCTAGCCAACGTTTCTGTTTTAAAAAACACTATCAAGGAAGTGAAAATACAACCCACAAAATGGGAGGAAAATGTTTGCAAACCACATATCTTGTAAGAGTCTAGTTTCCAGACTACATAAAGAATTCTTACAATTCAATGATAAAAAGACAACCCCATTTAAAAATGGGCAAAGGACTTAAATATATTTTTCTCCAAAGAAGATTTACAAATGGCCAATGAGCATATGAAAAGATGTTCAACATCATCAGCCATTAAGGAAATACAAGTCAAAACTACAATAAGGCCAGGTGCAGTGGTTCCTACCTATAATCCTAGCACTCTGGGAGGCTGTGCTGGGGCCTCCTTTGAGGCCAGGAGTTGGAGACCAGCCTGCACAAGAACAAGACCCCCTCTTTACTAAAAAATAGAAAAATTATCCAGGCATCACGGCATGCACCTATAATCCCAGCTACTCAGGAGACTGAGGCAGGAGGATCTTTTGAGCCCAAGAGTTGAACGTTACATGAACTTCAATGACACCACTGCACTTTATCTAGGGTGACAGAGGGAGACTGTCTCAAACAACAACAACAACAACAAAAAACCCACAATGAAATGTCACATTCACTAGGATGGCTATAATCAGTTTTTAAATGAAAAATAACAAGAGTTGGCAAGAATATGGAGAAAGTGAAACCCTTATACATTACTGGTGGGAATGTAAAACAGTTCTTGCTATATAGCCACTATGAAAAACAGTTTGGAAAAAAAGTTAAGCATAGAGTTACCTCATGCTCAGCAATTCTACTCCTAAGTATAAACCCAAGAGAATTGAATACACATTTCCACACAAAAACTTTTACAAATATTCACGGCAGTATTATTCATGGTAGCCAAAAAGTGGAAACAGCCAAAATATCTATCAAGTACAAATAAATAAATGAAATGTGCTATATACATTTCATTGGAATATTTTTCAGCCATAAAAAGACTGAAGTACTGATACACACTACAGCATAAATGAACCTTAAAAACATTATCCAAAGTGAAAGAAGTCAGACACAAAAGCTCACATATGGCAAAAGTTCACATATAGTATGATTCCATTTATACAAAATGTCCAGAGTAGGCAAATTTATGGAGACAGAAAGTAGATTAGTGGTTACCAGGGACTGGGGGTGTGGGGACCAGGAGTGAGTGCTAATGGGTTTGGGATTTCTTCTGGGAACGATGAAAATGTTCTGGAATTAGGCAGTGGTGATAGTTGTTCGACTTTCTGAACATACTAAAACTTACTGATCTGTGCACTTTAAAGGGTGAATTTTTTGGCATGTGAATTATATCTGAAAATTGATGGATGAATGAATGATGCATATGCCTGGAAGTGGAATTGCTGGGCCATATGGTAACTCTATGTTTAACTTTTTGAGGAACTGCCAAACTGTTTTCCAAAGTGACTACACCGTTTTCCATTCCCACCAGCAGTAATGTGTTAGGGTTCCAATTTCTCCATCCAAAAATTTAAGAGATACTAGAAGACAAATCTGCAACAAAGTCTATAGGGAACAAATGTAAAATGCGGAGGTTTTCGCTGCCTTAGGAGTATGTATATGTTCTTGTTTGCAGGTTTCAGAGGAAATCCATCGATGGAAGCTTTGGTTCCAATGATGGTAAGAAAAATCCCTGGTGTCAATTCAAAATGATGTCCAATAGCATGGTGACATCCCAGTTGGTGCTGCTTTTGTCTCTCTGCCTTTTGCAATTTAGGAACACTTCCTTGATTTCTATGCCATAGAGCAGTCTAATCTGCAGTCTTTCTATGGCAAGCAGAGCTGGTGAGAACCAATTTTGTAACTGATAATTATTGTGATGTGGAGCCCACACTAAAATCCTTTACTTGGAGTGTCCCTTGTAGTTATCCACAGACCATTTGCCAGCCATTCATCTTTTTTTTAAGTTTAAGTGTTTCTAAGACATAATTGTTCATCCTGTTCTTATCTCAAAGCTGATTTGTGAACAATAAGAAGAACTTACCATGTCAACTCTAATACTGAATTTACTTTTCCCAAACTGAGATAGAGGCTTTTTAAATTTAAGTAATTAGACAATGGAAATATTTGAGGCTAGCAAGCATAGTAAAAAGTATAATAACTTTAGGGAATCCAGAGTAATCAAATCTCCAACCATTGTCATATTTCCTTTCTTCCACTCTGAGAGTTTGAACAAAGGAATTCAATTGCCTGATCTTTTGAACAAAACTTAAAAAATGTAAATGTCCTCATTTTCGAAAAGTCTAAATCAGCATGAGTTAATCAATGCTCATAAGCTATTTGGCATACAGTGAGAATTTGGAAAAGAAATGAGGAAGTGGGACTTGATTTTTAAGTCACACGTAGCAGATGTTTAATTTTATGTTTTCCACACTTAAATGAGTCCACAGAATCTTGGAGAGATGTAAACTCACTCCCTACCCCCACCCACCAGGAACATTTCTCCTTTTGTTGGAGAGCTTGCTTTATTTTTTACATTCAACTTCCTTAATGTCAGCATGTCTATTTTTCCAGCCACCCAGGCACTTTGTTTTAATAAACATTCAGCTGCCAGTATAAAAGACTGTAAAAGAACACCTGCTCCGTGGCTTTAAAATGCTAAGTGCTCCTTTCCGTTTTAGTCATAAAATGCTTAAAAGAATTTGTATTCTTTCTGGATCTCATCTGTTTTCCTACAGTGCTCCCAGGTTTTGTTACTACTTTAGGCGTAGTTGAACTTAGGCCTAAATTCAATTGGTTGGATCCCACTAGGTACACTCTGAATGGTGGCCTGTTATATTTTATTGTATGAGTGAATTCTTTTTATTATTATCATAATAATTAAAAGATTCTATGCTCAGAAGGGTCTCCTGAACCATTGAAACATAAGTAGGCAGAGCTAGGACTTATACCAGATCATAGCAGGATCAGGAAGCCTCTGGAAATTAGCTAAGAGCTGGAGGCACCCTTCAGATGGCAAGCAGGAATAAGTGTTTGACCAAAAACAATAAAGATGTGTCATTAAGATTCATGTAGCTGCAAGTAACAACAGCAGCAACAATAATAAAATGTATCTCAAACATGCTTAATCAGTGAAGAGGCTCCTATCCCTGGAAGTTGAGCAGAAGGATGGACTTCAGGATCGATTGGATCCAGCAGCTCTGGTCCATTTCCCTGCCATTCTCTTGGCTCCAGTTTACTCTCCGGGCTGGACATGAGCTGGGCCGAGGCTCACACCCTCACCTGACAACTTCAGAGGGAAGCACTTTTTCCAAAGCCAGCGACAACTTATCCTCATGTTTCACTGGCTTAGAATATATCATATACTTATTGAACTAGTTGTTGAACTAGTCACTGCAAAGGAATAGATTTACCTACACATCAAACTTAAACTTTTAAGATTAGGGTGAGGTCCTCTTTCTGTGAGACCAGGGTTTCTCAAACTCAATATTACTGACATTACAAGCCAGATAATTCTTTGCTGTTGGGGGCTATTCCGTACATTACAGGATGTTTAATAGTATCCTTCACTTCTACCCATTAACTTCCAGTAGTACTCTCCCTCCTTGTGATAGCTAAAAATGCCTCCAGCCATCGCCAAATGTCTGTCAAGACTGTCCCCGCTCTCCTTCTGCTTGAGAACTACTGACCAACGCAGCAGCTGCCAGGCACAAGTGAGGATAACTGAACAAAATGCCAGCTTAGTTAGGAAGTAGGGAACAGGAGTGCTCACACAAAGGGCTTTGAAATAGGAGGGAAATAAGGAAACTTTGTAATGCAGAGAAGCCACAGGGAAGGATGGCACCAGCTCCACTGGTGACCACTAGTGAGTCAAGACCTGGATGCTTAAAACAAGAGCAGAAGACAAGCTCTGCCCAACGGAAGAACCAGTTAGTGACTTTTTTGAGCATTTCAAACATAGCACTGAGAAATCATCCAGGAGCAAGAGACAGAGGCAAGTGAGGACCGTATCTGAACGCTGATGTGAGACGTCCAGGGGAGGAACCTTTGGAGAGGAGCAAGGACACAAAAATATCTTCTCCTCCCAAGGCCAGGTTCAGGGTGTCTGTGCGGCACAGGAAGTTCATTGGAGCTTAGAGCTACAGGAAATGCCGTATAATTGTGTCCAGAGAAAATGCTAGAAGAAGCTTCTGAAAGGGGAAGAGAACCCCACCGGACTTCACATGTTGTCTGCCCACATCGTCGTGGAGCTAGACATCTGAAGAACGTGGCCTGACACTTTCACGCTAGGTGTGGCTGCGGTGGAAGACGCGGAACCAGGTCCTGTGAGTTGCCCAGTTGGCGGCGCCTCTGTTCTAGCTGGAGAGTGATAGGAAGGCTGCACTCCGAAAATCTGGAGGCTACTTTGCATTCTTTTCTTTGATATGCCTGCAGTTCTTTAATTAAGTTGTATTTGAAAAACGTCGGTGTTGGCTCCAATTATACTGGAAAGCGAAAGGATTTTTTTCACACCTCATGGGATGAAGAAGGAGATGAGACCCTGGAGGCTGGGTAAGAGGGAAACAGTGTTGGGAAAGAGCTGCTCCAGAGGCCTTGAAGGGACATTTTTACTGTGGATTGAATGACTGGACACTACATCCTCCAGTCGGTACTTAATACTGAAGACAGGGCCTCTGTGATCACCTGAAGGGTACCAAGAAAGAGTGGTCTGAAAACATTTCCTCCACTTGCTCTATCAGCAGAGAAACCCCGCAGTTCACATCATTGTTGAAGAGCCTCTACGGAAATCCTAACGAAGCCTCCCCACAGGCCTCTGGGACCACATGAGCTGCCACCACGAACCTGGGGTGCAGCATACGAGGAGATTCCTCCCTTACATGAGAGAGCTTGACAAGCCTGACAAGTTTGTAGACCTGAGAACCAGTGGCCAACCCAACCCTCCCCTGGATAGAGCTGTTACCGAATCAGCCTCTCAGCAAGGAGCAGGGTCCAATGGGGGAAGACAATGGGTATGCTGAGTTTGGAGGATGCCAGGAGCACAGGCCACCGTCGGGCTCTGTGGCAAGGGCTCTCAATTCTACTCCTGCCTTCCTACTCTTCTTTTTCCAAATTTCTTTGACTTTTCTTGCCCAGTTTTTTTTTCCTAGAGGAATGTTACTTTTACATGTCTCTGCAAAGATGAGTGATTTTCTTCACTTTCTCAACTTTTGAAACAAAGCACGAGACTAGTCGGGGTAGGTAGCCAACTGGCATCAAAATAAAATGTCATGGCAGCCAGTGCACATCATTTCTGACTCCCTCTTCAGCTTCCAACCTCCTGAGTCTTCAGGGACATAAGGGAGCCAGAACAACTATAAATATGAAGTCCATGAAAGATCCAGGCATGCTCAGAATGAAATGAAATTTTTCTCCTCACGTATAATACAAAAAGAAAGCGTGCAAGCCTATCCTGTTCTATGTTAGTGAAGTAGACAGATGGCAAGGGGCTCATGCTCAGAGAAAAACACACCAAAACAAGTTTCCTTATTAAGATGAGATCATTCACTATCTTATATGTCTGCTATTCCCAGCCAGAACATTCTGATCTGCCCTATAAACTGATAGCGTGTGTTTAATTCTGCTCTCTAAATACTATATGGTTAAATAAAGATATAGCTTGCCTTTCGAGACCATACTTGAAGTTTGGAAGGAAATGCTTTAGTTTTGCATTCTTAAAGAGGACAGAGACATAAGCATAACTAACAGAATACTGTTATCCCATGTTGGCCAATCTCATATTTAAGTTGTGCATATAAAATTCCACAGAGTTAAAACATTTTGGGGTGCCGACAATGGTATTGCACATGAAAATCTTGGTGCTCCTGCCCGTCACAGAACCCATGGCGCTGCAGTTGCCTTAAAGTCAACAGGGCCAGCAATGACACCCCAACCAGATCGTGCTCAGTTATGAGCCAGGGCGGAGTACGGAAGTCAGTAATTCATCAAGACTGAGCAGACCTACAACAGCTGGCTTTAACTTTTCAATGAAGTCGCCACCTAACAAAACAGTGATTGTTTTTGTTTGTGTGATCGCTTTGATTTTAGTTTTTCTTTTTATTTTTCTTTTGATTACACACATGCAAAACATTGGCTTCTACGGAACTGTTTCAACAATCTCCTGCCACAACTGAACTCAAACATTGCCCTACACACACTTCTAATCCCCTTATCAGAGGGCTTCCAGTAACACCAAAATGCCAAAAATTTGGAGTTTTATAATTTTAGTGTCATTCTTCATTTATTATTTGCATGTTTAATAATTTTCTAAATTGCATTTTAGACAAAGGGCATATAAGTTAACAGTTGAAAATAGGAGCCTAATCTTAAAAAGAGAAAAATGTGAAAGATACTGAGGGAAATGTAAAAGACTACCACATCACCTAGAAATGAGACCAACACAAGGGTTACTTGACACCCCACAATGAACTAAACAGAAAGAAGATGCAGCATGACCCCACCCCAAAAGGGACTCATGGGCAAGCAGCCAATCTAAAAATCAAAAGTTGTGCTTCCTTTTTAAAAACAGGAGTTTATTAAAATGAAGATGCAAGTGAACTTCAACTTCCTTGTCTCTTTTGACAGATATTCTTAAGCACTACATGGAAGTAACACATTTACTTTCAATTATTCATATTTTGAAGGAAAATCTCTGTCTTTATTTCAACTAAGAAGATAAGTTTGTGGCATATGTACACAGTGGAATATTATTCAGCCTTTAGAAAAGGAAAACAGCATCCGCAACAACATGTCCTCCATGGATGAACTTGGAAGACATCATGCTAAATGAAATACACCAGACACAGAAAGAAAAACACTGTATGATCTCACTTATATGGGGAATCTAAAAAATAGTCAAATACAGAGAAACAGAAAGTAGAACAGTGGATAGCCTGATATAAAACCATCCTCATATAGCCATCTAATCTTTGACAAAGCAGACAAAAACATACACTGGGGAAAAGAATCCATTTTCAATAAATGGTGCTGGGAAAACTGGATAGCCACCTGTAGAAGGCTAAAACAGGACCCACACCTTTCACCTCTCACAAAAACCAACTCACGCTGGATAACAGACTTAAACCTAAGGTATGAAACTATTAGAACTCTAGAGGAAAATGTTGGAAACACTCTCCTAGACATCGGCCTGGGCAAAGAGTTTATGAAGAAGTCCCCAAAGGCAATCACAGCAGCAACAAAATAAATAATGGGACATGATCAAACTACAAAGCTTCTGCACAGCCAAAGAAATAGTCATGAAAGTAAACAGACAACCTACAGAATGGGAGAAAATTTTTGCATCCTATGCATCCGATAAGGGACTGATAACTAGAATATACTTAGAACTCATGAAAATCAGGAAGAAAAATCAAATAACCCCATTAAAAAGTGGGCAAAGGACTTGAACAGAAACTTTTCTAAAGAAGACAGAAGAATGGCCAACAAACATATGAAAAAATGCTCAACATCTCTAATCATCAGGGAAATGCAAATCAAAACCACAATGAGATATCACTTAACCCCAGTGAGAATGGCCTTTATCAAAAAATCTCCAAACAATAAATGCTGGCTTGGTTGCGGAGAGAGAGGAACACTCCTACACTGCTGGTGGGACTGCAAACTAGTTCAACCTCTGTGGAAAGCAATATGGAGATACCTTAAAGCGATACAAGTGAATCTACCATTTGATCCAGCAATTCCATTGCTGGGCATCTACCCAAATGATCCAATGACACTCTACAAAAAAGACACCTGCACTCGAATGTTTATAGCAGCACAATTCATAATTGCAAGGCTGTGGAAACAGCCCAAGTGCCCATCAATCCAAGAATGGATTAATAAAATGTTGTATATGTATACCATGGAGTACTATTCAGCTCTAAGAAACAATGGTGATATAGCACATCTTATATTTTCCTGGTTAGAGCTGGAACCCATACTACTAAGTGAAGTATCCCAAGAATAGAAAAACAAGCACCAGATATAGTCTCCAGCAAACTGGTATTAACTGAGTAGCACCTAAGTGAACACATAGGTACTACAGTAATAGGGTATGGTCAGGGGGAGGGGGGAGGGGGTGGGTATTATACATACATAATGAGTGAGATGTGCACCATCTGGGGGATGGTCATGATGGAGACTCAGACTTTTGGGGGGAGGGGGAGAAATGGGCATTTATTGAAACCTTAAAATCTGTACCCCCATAATATGCCGAAATAAAAAAAAAAAACTAATAGAAAAAAAAAAAAAAGAAGGGGGAGGAAATGAGAAGATGTAGGTCAAAATGTACAAACTTGCAGTTATATAGGGTAACTCTAGAGATCTAGTGTACAGTAGGAGGACTATAGTTTAAAATATTGTATTCTATACTAAAGATTTGCTAAGAGAGTAGATTTTAGGTACTCTTATAACAACAAAACAGAGGTAACTGTGAAAGGTGATGGATATACTTAAGAGTCTGATGGCTACCTGTTTCTTTGCCTTAAAGTTGGGTGAAAAGCATAAATGGTGTTTATGCCACGTTGCATATTTATGGGTTAGCCCAAGAAAGGCCCAGGGAACACCTAATTTCTCTAAATAATAAGAGATATATCAAAAGATCTCCAAGCCTAGTAAAAATACTGAAGAGTATGCATTTTGGGGGCCAAAGTCCACATTCTGAAGGCCAAGGTCTACATTCTGAGGAACAGCCCAAGAATACTGCATTAGCCAAAAGCCTTGCTGTCCAGCTGAGCCAACTCTTGACAAAGCTACCAAAAGGAGAAAGAAAATTAGTCTCCAAGACAATTACATTTGTCTCTCATCATTTGGCTAAAAGTTTTGAACCTAAGATTTAATTTTTCTTCATGGAGGAAATTACTGGCTACACAAAGAATATAAAAGCATGATAAAGTCTACAAGGTTGACTTGCAAAACTGAATATTTTTACTGCCCTCCAAAGGAAATGAAATTTGAGAGCTGGAGGAAGAGAGTTGACTGTGACAACCTAGGAATTGTTGGAGGCTTTTGGTTCTTTTGCTTGTGTTAAGCACTGTAGCTTTACCATAAACTACATTGAACTCTGTTTTCAATGAAGAAACAAAAGTACATTTATAGTGAGGACGTGTTAGAATATCCTCAGTTGTATTTCCTCACTGAAAATATATTTTCCTGCAACAGTACAAGATACAGACCAACTGTACAAGATACTGTGAGTTAACTAACTCACAGACTTTTTTGTCTGTCATGGGATATGGGCAATCTCATGTCTCAGAAAGAGGAATTTATTGAAATTTCCACCAGCCTGACAATATCCCAGATCCTTAGCAAAGCTGAGAAGGCAGTGAAGAAATGAAATGCGTGTGCATAGATGAGTGTGGCTCCTAGAAATGTTGTGGCACTAAATAAGAGTCAGAGAAACTGCCTAAACACCTGCTAATGTATGGTTTCTGGTCCCTTTGCTCAGTTTGGCTTAATGCTTAGAAATGGATAAACTCAATGGATTAGCATCTTGCCTAATAACCAGTAAGAAGGATGGGAGGTATTTTTCTCTGATGTTTGTGGTGGGATGGCTCCACAGACACCCCCAGATTCTCAGAGCAATGAGTTCACTCACGCTCTCTGTTACAAGGAGGACTTCACTGGAAAATCTTGAAGAGTATTTTCTTAGAGTCTACTTTTCTCTTAATGCCAACAAGCAGTTGGCAACAGATACATCCATTCTACTTCCTAAATATCCCTCCAAATAACCTATCTTCCTCTACATCCTTAGTTCATATTGTCATCATTTATTGCTCCAGTGAGTACGGCAACTTTCTCCTATCTGGGCTTCTTGCCAATAGTTAGGATATTGCTAATGCTACAACAAATCAACTTCCAAATTACAGTGGCTTGATAATTGGGGTTTTATCACTGTTGTTTTTGTGCAATGATGGCTTCCGTTACAGTAATTCCAGACCCTTTATTCTTGTGATTCTGTAATGCTATCAGGAAAGAATCAGCTACTTCTTTTTTATAAAGAGCCAAATAGTAAATATGTTAGGCTTCCTGGGCCCTACAGGCTCTGTTGCAACTGCTCAACTGTGCCAATACAGCACAAAAGCAGCCTCAGACGTACTCAAATGAGTGTGGCTGTGTTTCAATAGAACTCTATATATGCATACTGAAATTTGAATTTCATATGATTTTTGCCTGTCATGAAATAGTATTCTTCTTTTTTATTCTTTTCCCCAACAATTTAAAAATTTTAAAAACAGCTGGGCTTGGTGGTTGGCACCTGTAGTCGCAGGTACGGGGGAGTCTGAGGTGGGAAGATCACTTGAGCCCAGGAGCTTGAGACCAGCCTGGGCAACATCCCAAAACTCCCATCTCTAAAAAATAAAAGTTTGAAAAGCATTCTTAGTTCAAAGGTTGTACAAAAGCAGGTAGCAGGCTAGATTTGGTGTATGAACCATAGTTTGGTATCTCCTGTATTAGAATAAAAGGAAAATCAAATTTGAATTGTTGTGGCCTGATGATTGAAGCTACTTAGATTTGTGTTGCTTGATTTAAAACTGAACATAAAGTGTTTGCCTCTTTGCTTTTTTTAACAGGCTCAGGAAATATGGTGGTGTCACATCCCATTGCTGCCAGCACACCTGAAGGGAGCAATTATGGGACAATAGGTATTTCCCACCGTGAGTCCTTCATGGAAGTATTTCCTCATTCTCCGGAGAACAGGATAGAAAGGGCCCTTCAGCCACTAATAACTGAGCACACGGGCCAGGCAGTCATCCTATGAGATTGTCTTTTATTTGTAAGATGAATTAGTTGGAGGATCTGGAAGCTTCCTTCCAACTTTCTCCAGTTCTATCGTTCTGTTTCTTGGATCTGCTAGCCACACTGGAGCAGAGTTCCCTACAATGACTGTCATCTAATGCGAGGGTCCCTTGGGGACTTTTTCTGTACCCAGCCGTTTGAGGGAGTGAAAGATGTGTCCCAGGGAGCCTGACATAAATTGGCCAGTTGTTTCATTCTCTGGTTTCAGTGGAGTAAGGGCGATCAGAAGACTAAGGCAGTGCTGCAGGTGAACATGGCTGTATGCCAACAACCCTTCATTTTGGCTCACTTCATAATTGAACCTGCTCTCTGCCACCCAGTCACATGGCAAACCCCAGTGTTCCTTCCGTGGCCTGAAAGGAACAGAGTCCCTGTACCTGCCTTGCTAGGGTAGGAGCGCAGTGAGCTGCCTGCCCCTTCCATGTCACTTGACCTATGAATGGTCCTCCTTAAAATGTCAGTGTAGAGGGACTGGGCATCTTGTATTCCTGCTCTGTTATTCTGTAACTTTGAGGAGCATGTGGGCTCAGTGCAGGCTACTTATTTTTAGTTCTGTAAGAACAGAATTTCTTTTAAACCATCTGAACAGAAGAAATAAAGCGGAAGGTAAGCTCAGCTCATGTGCTCATCAAGCTGCACAAATTCCCATCTGCTCTGGGAAACATTCACGGGAACAGAAGGATTCTTCTTCCTGAGAATGTTGTTTTCATTATATAATCATAGATGTGGCATATGGGGGATTTCTGTGTACAAATACTTATCGGTGAGAGATGTATAGCTGCTGGATATGTGTGTGCTTGCACATATATGTGATAGATGCTATACATAGCTATGTGCATGTGTATGCTTATATATGTATGTCCATATTTTAAAATATGAAACGTTAAACATAAGCACAATGTTATTTTTGCATCCAAATAGTTATCAGAGCAGATGCCTTTATATTCTAATATGTATTCAGCCCCAGAGATAGACAAGTTAATTATAAAAATAGGAGAAGAGGAAAAATAAAACCATTAAGAAGGAATGGAGAGAAGGAACATGTCTCATGGGTAAGGAGTTAGTTTGGACCAACACAGTATTTTCCGGAATGAGTCTGCACGCATTCCAGGAGAATGTGCTTTTAGCAGACAGGCATGGGCTTCATAGACTCTTCTTGGCTTTTGAAAGCAGATAAGTTTTCTTTGTTTCAGATGAGTCAAGCTCCAGTCCTGGAAGGCAGATGTCCTCCTCCGATGGTGGGCTGCCATGCCAGTCAGACACAGACAGCTCGGTGGAGGAGAGTGACTTCGACACCATGCCAGACATTGAGAGTGATAAAAACATCGTCCGGACCAAGGTACCTACCTCTACCTGGCCATACTCTTTGAGAGGCAGAAAGTTTGGTAGTGAAATAAATTTCAGCAATGCCTCAGTTTCCTTTACTTTACTTCCTTTAGAGGAAGTCAAGTTCCCACAGTGCTTAGATGAAACATAACTACAGACTAAAAGCAATACTCTGCAAATTAGCACTTTTTTCTCAAGGAATAAAGTAAGAGTATTAAAGAGAAGAGAGCATTAAAACACTCTCAAGGTTTGAAGTGGCTAACTATGGACAATAAGGATGAAGGGGTCAACCAGATGGAAGAAAATATTGATTTGAGGGGTGTACCTGGGAAAGCTCCCTGGTTCTGTACATATCGTCCTTCAGTTGTAAAGCTCATTTCTTTCTGGCATATATTATTATATTGTGCTGTACTTAGAACATGTGAAGGTGAATTGCAGTTTCCACCTGTGTAATTTAAGAACCACACAGTGGACAGGCTTTGAAAGCTGGGAAATCAATTCTTGAGATGTGAGAAGTACCCAAGACTGTCAATAGATTGCCCACGTCAGTCAATCCTTTTCTTTTCTTTTTTTTTTTCAGTCAATCCTTTCTATTCCAGGGGAAATACTAGGATTTTTGTCAAGGTATCATGGGAAAAGCAAAATTAAAAGAAAAGTTTCAACAATTTTAATAAAATTAATTTTATTTTTAAATAAAATTTAATAAATGTTAATAATTTTATCCTTTGAATACTTTTAATAATTTTAATTGAAATTTGTACAGCTCTTCTTTGTATCTTATGCACGAAAAGCCAAGTACAGTTTTGCATTCTATTTTTATTTGGCATCTCAGATGTTCCTTTACCTGTCAGATCTGTCCAGGAAGGACCGGAGGATTGTCAGCAAAAAATATAAGATTTATTTTTGGTAAGTAGATGAGCAGCAGGACCGTGGTTCCCTTAAGTAAATGTAAACATTTCTTTGTAAGAACCACCGCCACGTATGTCACGAGACTCTAGGGTCTAATGAAGCTCAGGCTTAGGTGATGATAGATCATCGATGGTACATGGACCAGCAGTGGTTACTCGTGGATGCAGCCTCCCTCCCAGCCAAGGGGCTGAGCTGCCTTGCAAGGACTTTTATCCTCTTGTGACAGCTCCTTCCATTCTTTTAGTTGGTAACAGATATTAGAGGGAAACAAGGGACAGGGAGGCCACATGGAATTTCACAGTGGGACCACCAGTTTGGAACTGAGGTATCTAAGAGATACTGCATCCCTTTCAAGTGATCCTTCACCCATTACTTACACACTGATGCTTAATCTAACAACATCCTAAAGAGATAGGCCCTCATTGATTATTTGGTTAAACCAGAAGCAGGTATTATTTATACTGTTTTATAAATGGTTTTATGAAGAGAAAAGGGGGAAAACCCCTACAATTTTTGGAGTGTCAAACATTGACTTTTAAATACATCATTTCAGTTGATAGTGTCAGTGTTCTCCTCTGCAACCGAACTGATAGGAGCCAAGAGGAGTTTTTCTTTACCTCTTCACCTCCCCTTTAGATAAGATATTGTGGACCCAATGCCCAAAAGCAAGAGATGGGGAGAGGAAGACTGGAGAAACAGGAACCGCATAATCAGCTTCTAAATACTTTTGCAAATTAACTGTGGACCTATGGGGTGGAATATTGAGCAAATATTCCATTGCTAATTTGGAAATAACTCTCTCTGGTTCTTTCTGCCTGCACAGGAACATCATCACCATCGCTGTGTTTTATGCACTGCCTGTGATCCAGCTGGTCATCACCTACCAAACAGTAAGTGCTGCCCCATCCTCAGAGTCCCAGCTTTTATTGCCCAGGGAAAGTCTTCACTGTGACTTACGGAGAAAAGCATAACTTGGGATCAGCTCAAGAATTAATTTCCCAATTGGGTTCCCGTTGGACTTCACTGTGACTTCATCTTTACCTGACCTTTTGATCTAGTTCCCAATTTTTCAATCACAAAGGGCTCTGAGACCTCTTATATTATCTTGTCTACCAATCTGAAATTACAACCTTGTACTCATGCAGTCGTAGTATCTACCAACTGCACTGTGATTTACCCATCTGGGCTTTCTGGTCATCATGGGATAATGAGTAGAAAAAGTAAAGTTTCAGACCAAAGCAAGGAAACTGGTTTCATTGAGCCTGTGCTTTCTCATTGAGAGTAAATAACAAAATATTCAAGTAAAAAGAAAATACACAATATGAAAAAATTTTTAAATATTACAAACAAAATAAATACTAAAACAGTTTGACAATCCTCACTACCCCTTCATAAAATGCTAGCTAGGGTCCAGGTTCACTTAAGTGACCTCTAGAATTGATTACACATGAGAAAGCCCATTTAGAACAGCACAGGCTGAAAGGGTTTCTAATGCAGGAGCTCTCAGACTTTGCTGTGCATTAAAGTCACCTGGAGAACTTTAAAAAATCCCCATGTCCAGGCCGTTCCCCACACCAAATTAAAGTAAAGTCTCTGAGAGTGGAACGAGGCATCTGTATTGTTTAAACCCCCAGTGAGTCTAATGTACAGCCAAGTTTGAGAGCTTTTGGCCTAATAATATTTAGTCAATTCCATACTTATTATGTAATGAGGACAAGGACTTCAGGAGATTTGAGAACCACACTGTTTATAATCTAAATATTCTCTGCATACTTTGGGGCCCTGTCAGAAGATACAGCTGTACTGTAGTTTGGGAAGTTTCTTGGTAGAGATGGTGACAAACACGGAAAACTGAGCATATATCTCCTCACGTAAACCTGCTCGAGGTTACCATTTCCACCCAGAGGATGGGAGAGCTCCAAATCCCCCAGGATTAGTCTAGAAACTGGGACATAGCATGACAGTCCTAAAAGGCAGGTCCCAATATTAGCATGTTTTCAGAGTCCTTTTATCATGACAACAAAGGAAACACATGTAGCTGAATTCCACCTTGAGGCTGCGTAAAGGGCCACACAGATTATTTCCCTTCCATGCAAGATGGTAACATTAAGGGAAGTGCACCTGTGGGTGTCGTGGTGGCAGACAGTGAAGCATCCCTGCTGGGAAGGAGCACTGGTTACCCCATAAATCCCTGGCAGAGCATCCCTGGGAGGAGCCCTGTCTGTCTTTGTGATTTCAGGCTGGGACTCAGAGGACCGAGAAAAACCACATTTCCTCTTCTCACTCTTGCTTTTACAGGTGGTAAATGTCACTGGCAACCAGGACATCTGTTACTACAACTTCCTCTGTGCACACCCCTTGGGCGTCCTGAGGTAAACCCAGTCCTCTGGTTGCCCGTGAGGCATTGAAAGATGCCTTTCTGTCTAATGTTGTGATTTCAGTTTTTTAAAATGTTAAAAATAACTGTGGAAAACGACCACAGCCAAGGGTAAAGAGGAACTAAACCAAGAAGTTGAGTCCAGGTATGCTTCTCTCATTCCTGTAGGAGGGCCCCAGGAAACATGCCTGGGGATGGCTTCTGGGAAGAGGGTAGTGATGATTCTGAAAATGTCAGGGACCAGCCGTGAGGGCATTTGTTCACAGGCAGGAGCTGGCAGCCTGTTGTCTCATTCAATCCATTAAACAGTCTCATGAGGCAGACGCTGTTACCCCTAGTTTTATTTTATTTTATTTTATTTTATTTTATTTTATTTTATTTTATTTTTTTGAGATGGGGTCTCACTCTTACTCAGGCTGGTCTAGAACTCCTGAGCTCAAATGATCCACCCGCCTCGGCCTCCCAGCGTGCTGGGTTTACAGGCGTGAACCACGGCGCCGGGCCTACCCCTAGTTTTAGATGAAGACAGGTAAGGATTTGCTGAAGGTCCCTCAGCTGCTAGTGCTGTCAGGCCTGGACCCCTCCAAGGCCATGCCCTCGCCACCAGAACTTGGCAAAGTGGAAAGAGCATGCGCCTGGGTGGGAGCCTGGCTTGTTGCTCCACGGATGAACCAGCCTCAGTTTCCTGTAATAAAGCTGCTAGCTGTGATCGGCTGACACTTATACTGAAATTCGCAATTAGAGAGCTGAATATTGACACTTAACATGGGTCCACCTATGAGAATTCACTCTCCCCGTGTGGCTGAAACACTTGCCTACCTTCGGAGCGGCTCTCTTTCCCAAGATCATGCCGTGCCAGTGCCACTGGGACAAGAGAGGATTGGGCGGGTGGTAGGAAGCTGAACGGGCATCCCTGAGAGGAAACAGATAAATTGTCACAGGCTAAGTAAGCATCATAAAATGAAGGAGTTAGGTTAAAGAGGATTTCTAATGATTTTCTGATCCTGAAACCTTAGGGAAATATTTAGTGGTAGAAAATGCTGAATGCTGAGTTTACTCGCTCCTTCATGCATTCATTCATTCTCTGAATCCCTGGGATTGCCTTGCCTCTCTCATGGCTTCTCACTCATCCCTGTAGTGCCTTCAACAACATTCTCAGTAACCTGGGCCACGTGCTTCTGGGCTTCCTCTTCCTGTTGATAGTCTTGCGCCGGGACATCCTCCATCGAAGAGCCCTGGAAGCCAAGGACATCTTTGCTATGGTGAGGACAGAGTGGGTAAATCAGAGGAGAGAGCGATGAAGGGTTGTGGTTCCAAATGGGATCTGCAAAAGGGAGGGACATCTGACTTGATGGTGTGATAATATATTATGTGTAATGAATCATATGGGGCCAGAAGCATGGGCTTCCAGATTAATGACAAACTGAATTATTCACCAATTGGTATCTTTTCTATTGACCACATTTCTCCTTTTTCAGGAGTATGGGATTCCCAAACACTTCGGTCTCTTCTATGCTATGGGCATCGCATTGATGATGGAAGGGGTGCTCAGCGCTTGTTACCATGTCTGCCCTAATTACTCCAACTTCCAGTTTGGTAATTAGAACTTATATCTACTACACAGGTTTGAGTTATGAGTCTTATCCTGGGACCATCCCCCAAATGCCAAAGTCATGCTTGCAAGACGTAAATGGCATTTTATGTGAGCTGAAGTGATCTGAGAGCACCTCACCACAGAGCATGGTTTCCACATGTTGTACCACTGTTTCTCTCTGACCACCTTTTAGACTAGAAAATGCTCAACCCTGGAAGATGATCCCATGGCTAGATTTGAAAGCAGGCAATGGGCTAAGCTTTAGGCAACAAGTCAGATAGAATCCACAGACTTCTAGAAAGGTCCTTTGGTATAACTTGGCCTCATTGAGCAGTTAGATTGTTTCGGGATGAAAGTAATAGAAAACCCAATTCAGATTGGATTTAATAATAAGGACATTTATCAGCTCACAATCTGAAAGTCCAGAGGTAGAAAGGGATTGTGGTTGATCTACCTCCTGGCTCTGGCCCCATTTCTCTGTAACCCCTTTGCTTGCACAGGGTCTGTATGTTGGTTTTGTCCTCAGGCTGTCTTCTCTCATGGTAGCAAACATAGCTATAGAAGGTCCTGACTTTATATTAATAGTTCCCACACACACATACACAATTGCTGAGGAGGCAGCAAGCTGGCTTCCCAGGAGTCTTCACTTAAGAGCAAGGAAGCTTCTTTACAAGAAAGCCCCTGATAACATCCCCTCACATCTCAGTAGCTTAAACAGTCATGACCCTATTTTTGAATCCTTCCCTAAGTGCTGGTTGGCTTGGGCCTGGATTGCTGCACCAATCAGCAAAAGAGGTGGGATCACCTTCAGACCAATCAGACCCATCCGTGGAGCCAAGGGTGGGATTAGCTTTCCTGAAGCAAAGGGGCTGGGGCTGGGTGCACTTCTGAATTGAAAAGGGGGTGGATATTGAGTTAGCACTGAGATGCTGTTAAGAAGGAGAAAGGGAGGAGCTGATGGTAGTAGGCAAGTAACAATGTCTCCACTCAAGGATAAGGATTTTTAAAATGGTCATTTTATGTGTGTGCTCTGGCCTCTGCCTGCTAACTCAGAGCACCACAGAACTTCTCTGCCACATTTAATCTTTTTAATTAGGTGACATCTTTCATGGAGACAACTACAGACAATAACATTCACCATGCAGGATGAACAAATGTCAACATTTTAAAATATTTGCCTTAGGTCTACTTTTTAAGAAAGAAAACATTGTGATAAAGTTGAGGTCCTGTTTTGAAGCATCTTGGAAGCTTAATGTCCTCCCTCTCTCCCCAGAGGCAGCAACTATGATTACTTTGGTATTTGCCTTCCAGTTTCTTCTTATAATTGTGTTACATTTGTAGCAAATTGATATTAATCAATCACAATGTGTTCTGCAACCTTCTTTTTCCAATTCACAATATGTTTGCGAGGTTTATCAATATTCAATCAAGGACACTACTGAGAAGCCAGAACAGAGGTTTAAAAAAAAAAATGAATCAAGGACAGGGAGTTCATTCATTTTTAAGAGTTGTCATATCCTATAATAAAAACAGATTACAGTTATCAGTTCTTCCATTGAACCACATTTAGATGTCGCCAATATTTTGCTATTATTGGCAATGCTGCAACGAGCATCTTTGTATATGTCTCTGTGCACATGTGCGAGAGGCTCCCTGAGATACCTAGAAATAGAATTTTGAGTCACCTTGTTTGTGCAGCTTCCATTTTACCGAAAATTGACAAATTTATCTCCAGAGCATTAATTCCCGTTCCCATTAGTTGTGTGAGAGTTCCCATTTTCCCACATAATCACTAACAATTTGTTATCGTCAGACATTTAAATTTTTTGTTAAATTGTTGAGTCATATGGGGCACTGCATTGTTGTCTTAATTTGCATTTTCATAATTCTAATGCAGCTAAGCTACGTTTAATTTCTAGCTATTTTCTATCACTAGGCTATAAAGCTCTGTATGTGCAGTGAGCAATGTGGTTATATTCCAGAATGCTGAGAATGACCTCCTACACCCATCTGGGACTCATTTTATTGTCATGCTGCCTAAACTATCACCATTAGGGATTCTTTTGTTATTGTTGTTGAACAAGAGCATTTAAAATGCAAATAGCCCTGAAAGTGAGGATAGTCAATTATTTATCATATCGAAATACTTTTCTTCTGTGAAATAGGAGTTACTTGTTAAATCAGATGCTTTGCTTCTGTGAATTCAGAATAGCCTTGGGGGTGTTTAGAAGTGCAGTGTGTGGGCTCTGCCTGGAGACTGTGTCTGGAGGGGCTGCCATGTTGGAGGTCTCCACACAGGCAGCAATCAGTAGTCCGTAGACTGAAGTGAAGGGCTACTCAGAGGCTGAAGAAAAATCTAGAAAGTGTCATCTGTCTGTTGCTTACTGAATCCTGACCTTCTCGGCTCCTCCTCTGGGTCCTTAGACACCTCCTTCATGTACATGATCGCGGGCCTCTGCATGCTGAAGCTCTACCAGACCCGCCACCCGGACATCAATGCCAGCGCCTACTCGGCCTACGCCTCCTTCGCTGTGGTCATCATGCTCACCGTCCTCGGAGTGGTGCGTCCCTCTCCACCTGCCTTCAGTCTGGCTCTCAAAAAGTGCCCCCTTGGGAGGCTTGTTGTTTGTTTGTTTGTTGGAGCTCAGGTGAACAGGTTTGGATTAACCATAATCCTCTGCTCATGGCATACTCTCATCATTGATCCATTCGTGGCACACTTTTATTTAGCTATTGAGTTGGTTATTTTTAATAATGTACTAGGCACCTATAAAAGTACCCCTGAATAGTTTTAACATAAAGCTGGGGCCTGACTCACGTGAAATTGGAATAGAGATATATACCCTGATTGGAGAGACTGACTTGAAAGAACAAAAACCACTTTCTACATGTGCATGGGCAACTAGTGTTGGCTGTTTTCAGTTATTTGAAGAGCATCAGCCCCAACTGTAGACCTCTTGCCATTGTTCAGCTACCTCCCCTATTTCTTCCCTTTTCGATTTCCACTTGGCCAGTTAGCCATTCCTCGTCCTGCCCACTGTGCAGTAGGTTCCCTGTGAGTTCTGCTTGAGAGAAAGGGGAAAAAACACAATGCACACTCAGCTCAGTTTCTGAATCCTTACATAAGAGAGAGAATGATTTTAGTGAGTTCTCCGGGAAAAACACCAGTTTAAGGTAACTTCCATCTTTACTCCTAGGTGTTTGGAAAAAATGACGTGTGGTTCTGGGTCATCTTCTCTGCAATCCACATTCTGGCCTCTCTGGCCCTCAGCACCCAGATCTACTACATGGGCCGTTTCAAGATAGGTGAGTCACCTGTTGTCCTATACTAAACACATAGATTAACATACTGTGAAAAAGCAGACCTTGCCTTCACTCATCCTAAATGAAAGGTTACTGGTCATGTGCTCTGAATCCTGTGCTGTTTAATTGCATATATTCTCTCCAAGAGGTTCCTCTCCCTTATAGGATTGCAATAGGCTATTATCACAAGTTCTATGTTCAGGCGAGAAGCTAAGCTTGCCATGCCTCCCAGCTGAGGCATACCTCCAGCTCCCAGTTGCAAACACTTTACAATCCACCACTTTGAAAGTGCATTCAGAGAATGGTACGATTGTCATAACACTAGTTCCACCTAGAGGAACATTTTTCAGTTTGCAGCTTTTTTTTTTTTTTTTTTTTTTGAGACAGAGTCTCACTTTGTTGCCCAGGCTAGAGTGAGTGCCGTGGCGTCAGCCTGGCTCACAGCAACCTCAATCTCCTGGGCTCAGCGATCCTGCTGCCTCAGCCTCCTGAGTAGCTGTTACTACAGGCATGCGCCACCATGCCCGGCTAATTTTTTTTTGTATATATATTTTTAGTTGGTCAATTAATTTCTTTCTATTTTTGGTAGAGACGGGGTCTCGCTCAGGCTGGTTTCGAACTCCTGACCTTGAGCAATCCGCCCGCCTCGGCCTCCCAAAGTGCTAGGATTACAGGCGTGAGCCACCGCGCCCGGCCCAGTTTGCAGCTTTTAAAAGGAACATTTCTCTAACCATGCTAAATGATTGTCCAGAATGAATAATATATTTTCAGATTCTAGGGCTGGAACTTTTTGTCGCCAACTTGCCAATCTGAAAAGCAGGGCACCTGCCGAACTCCTTCTAACAATATGAACTTATCAAGGAGCATTGATTGTTCTACAGAAATCAACTTGTGGGCTCAGCACTGTGGCTCATGCCTGTAATGCTAGCATAGAGGCCGAGGAGGGAGGATTACTTGAGGCTGGGAGTTTGAGACCAGCCTGAGCAAGAGTGAGATGTTGTCTCTACTAAAAATAGAAAGTATTAGCTGGGTGTGGTGGCATGCACCTGTAGTCCCAGCTATTCGGGAGCCTGAGGCAAGAAGATTGATTGAGCCCAGGAATTTGAGTTTGTAGTGAGCTATGATGATGTCACTGTACTCTAGTTCAGGTGACAGAGTGAAACCCTGTCTCAAAAGAAAAAAAGACAAAAAGAATCAGCTTGCAACCTGCTCTTGGTCATCATACAGGGGAACAGATTCAAGTTGTTTTAGAGCATTTAAATTTATCAAAGCATTGTAAGTCCCAGGAAGTCAGACTTAAATATTCTTTTGTATATTTCAAGACAAATTATTATGTGTAAACATAGGTCCACCCCTAATATTTATAGAGCCCAGAACTAGAGTCCAAATAAAATCCTGCATACTATATGTATAAGAATTTCAAAGTTATAAAGTAGACTGAAAAGCTATTAAATATATGAAGGAAGGAAGGAAGGAAGGAAGGAAGGAAGGAAGGAAAAGATGGATGGACTAACAAAATGGTAAAATATAATATACATTCATATACCTAGAAGGTCTAGGTTCAAATTGAGAATTCTTGGTCTCTCAAAAGAATACTCCAGAACATAGCTGTGCAGGAAAGCTGGTCCCCAGCCCCTTCCCCTCTTTTCTTCCTACCTCTTGTTCTGTCCTATGTCTTAAAAGGTCTCACAGGTGTGCAAATGGACATCTTTGCCCAACATCCAGCATCCAGCCACGTCCCCCACAAATAGCCGCAACTTTCCTTGCCCAGAGGTGTGCGCTAGTGGTCCGTCCACCCTCAAGAAGATGGACCGGGGATTTGGGGGCAGGAGAGGCAGGGCCTAAGAGCAGGCTCAGACCCATCTGGGCAGGAGATTGTGGAGTCCAGAAATTCTGAATGTGATCCAGAAGGCAAAAGAATAATCCTCTTGCCCTGCAGATTCCTCCCTCATGAGGGAATAAGAGCTCTCTAAAATATGGGACCCCTCTTGCCCAGGTCTGAGAGCAATTCTACATAAACAAGTGGCTTTAAGACTAGGAGACTGAATAAAACACTTGCTCATTTTTGCAGTGTAGTTTTCCCTTTTGGGACACTCAGCAGATTTACCTCTGGCATGAACATAGCCAGTGGAGCTCCAAATCCCCCATTTCCCTTAGCCAGCTGGGGAGAACATTTGGTGTGGTGCTCTGGTCATGCCCCTCCTCCAGACAGAAGGTGAGTGAAGTTCAGTTAGTCAAACCACACTTTCAAAAAGAAACTAATTTGGAGCATTGTTGTTCTGGTTTCTCCCAGAGTTGGAAAAATAAACCTGAAAGCGCATGTATGTAATGATAATGACCACAAACACAGAGAAAGCTTTTACTATATTTATACCAACTCTACCTCATGCAATTTTGCAATACTAAATTACTTTAACTTTTAAAAGAAGAGGAATTTAACATATTATATTATGACCATGTAATAATTTGTCAGGGTTCCAACAGAGAGGAGATGTCACATACAAAGATTGAAGGGGGACTTATTCACAAAGGGACTGTTCCCAAGTCATACCTGGGGTAGACAGTGAAAGGGGTAGCATGGTAATCTGGCCTCCTCTTTGAGGAGTAGTAAACTTCTGAATGTTAGACACAGGCGGAAAAGAGTCTGTTCTTTTTGATGAGAAAACATTGCTGTAACAATCAGAAAACAAAATTAAAGTCATCCATTTTGAGAAAAAATAAAATGAGCAGTAGTTTACCTGTTTTGGCTGCTTTCTTACAAATCATTTTTTTCTCTCTCTCTCTCATTTCTTCTCTGCTTCCCATTGATTCAGATGTGTCTGACCCAGGTAATGTTCAGCCACCCTTCTCAGGGTTCTAGAGTGTTTCCTTATCAAAGCGCCCCACCTGGCGGTCCTGCCGGCTCTGCGCCCTAAACACCTTGCCCAGGTTGGGAAGGCTCCCTGGGAGGGGGCAGGCTGCACCCAACCCAGCCTGCCGGGCTGTCGGGGGACAGGCCTCTCCCCCCTGGTTAAATTAACTGCAGGGGTCACCTTGAGAAGACAGAGCTGGGATCCACACTGTCTGAAAAGCTTGCTTTGGGCAGACCCCGACTTGCATGTGATGTGCTCACAGAAGGACAGCCCCGCCTTTGACCCTGACACCATTCGTGTAACTCACAACACGCACACTCGCTGCATTTCATACTGTCCTTTCGAAAACTGCATTTACAAAAACCTTTCCTGTCTTTTTCTCCCCATCTTAACTTACATTCCTTTGATTATTGTTTTAGTACAGATGGGCTTTCTGAAAACGCTTGGTAAAGTCCAGGATCCCTTGGTTCGATTCTTACTGATTTATAACCACCTTGAGAAATACAGATTTGAACCTTTATGCGATAAGATTTCCACCTTTACGTGATAAGATTTCCCATCCTCTGGGGAGAGCGGATGTTTCAAGGTGGATCTGAGGGGTCCTGTAACACCTCTGCTATAGAGGAAACCCCATCTGAGTAAACTAAACACAGGGCAGCTTAGCTGAAGGAGACAGAATAAGGGCCGGCCACCCCTCGTGTTATTTGCAAGCGCTTATCGGGAGTGTGCGTCTTGCTTGCCTTTCTGCTGTGTGATGCATGGATATGGCACCCCTTCCTTGACAACATCATTTTTTAAAGCAAATATTTATCGTTCACGTATTAGGTGCAAAGCATTCCAATGCATTTTAATGAAGTGAAGATGACATCATCCTGGCCCCACTTGGGCCAAAAGCTTAGGACACTTCAGAGTATCTGTGTTTTCTCTTACTAAGCCGTCTGACCATGTGATTGTGTCATTGGCAGATTTGGGAATTTTCCGGCGGGCAGCTATGGTGTTCTACACGGACTGTGTCCAGCAGTGCAGCCGGCCTCTGTACATGGTATGTGCGTGCTCCTGTGTTCCTTGGTAGGGAAACTGCGGGTGGGGCAGGCTTAGGGCTGTCACTCAAGGCTCCTGAAGTCAAGAGGGCCAGATGGCCGGGGGTGGCTGAGGTCCAGTTAGCAGGGGAAGAAGCATGTTGCTTTCTCTTTTTCATAAAAAACAAGCTAGGATGGTGCCATTTTTCTTAATGAAATATTTGCTGGTATATAAAGAAGAAAATATATGTGCCCAACCGTTAAACAGTGCTAATTGCTATGGGGAGGATCAAGACAGAGTATCTCCATAAATACTGATCCAAAGAAGTGCCCTTGTGAAAATGAAAGGGCACACTCTTAATAATTACAGCAAGACAGCAGGCATAAGCCAGGGTCATCCCCAGCAAACTGGGACACGTGGTCACTCCAATCACTTTCATTAGGAGCTTACACTTCCACATTATGCACTTCTGCATTGTTTGACTTTTACAGTGAGCAAGAATATTTTTTAAAACTGTGGTTATTGCTTGATGGTTGAAAAATACTTTTAAAAGTTTGCCCTTGGCCAGGCGCAGTGGCTCACGCCTGTAATCCTAGCAATCTGGGAGGCTGAGGCAGGCAGATCACTCAAGGTCAGGAGTTCAAAACTAGCCTGAGCAAGAGCGAGACCCCGTCTCTACTAAAAATAGAAAGAAATTAAGTGGCCAACTAAAAACATATATAGAAAAAATTAGCCAGGCATAGTGGCACATGCCTGTAGTCCCAGCTACTTGGGAGGCTGAGGCAGCAGGATTGCTTGAGCCCAGGAGTTGGAGGTTGCTGTGAGCTAGGCTGACGCCACAGCACTCTAGCCCGGGCAACAGAGTACTCTGTCTCAAAAAAAAAAAAAAACTTTGCCCTTGTAGTTTTCAGTATATTATATACTTCTACACTGAGCCCAGAGAGCAGGGCCCTGGTCCCAGCTCTGTCTTAGCTCTCTGGCTACCTGGGAAGGCTACTTACCTCCTCCGAGCCCACTGCCCCAGCCTTTGCACAGTGCTGCGGTCAGAACCAGTGGCATTATTATTGTGGCCTGGTACACAGGGGTTTAGTAAGTACTCCTGAGCCTTTATAATCAGAAGGACTTTTATATAAAGGAATATGGGAATCTTTTAGCCCTCTAGAGCTTGGGCAGGAACTATAGGCACTAAAAAATTGAGGGAGTTAAGGCTGGAGGGTTTTATTCAGGGAAGAATTACAAAGCCCATTATGATGCGTGAGTATTCTGAGAGTTAAGCATGCCTTCGCTGTGAACCAGCAGGCACAAGTAGTGTTTCCGTTTGTTTTTTAAATCCACTGATGCAGGCTGTCTCCTTTTTGTAAAATAGACTTTATATTTTAGAACAGCTTTAGGTTCACAGCAAAATTGAGCGGAAGGTGCAGAGATTTCCCATACAGCCTCTGCCCCTGCCCCCCGACACACACAGCCTCCCCCACTGTTGACGTTCCACACTAGAGTGGCACATTGGTTACAACTGATGAGCCTACACTGACACATCCCTGTCACCCAATCCATAGTCTACAGCACATCGGGGTTCGCTCTTGATGTTGTATGTTCTATGGGTTTGGGGACTATATAATGACATGTACCCACCATTATAGTATCATGCAGTCTCACTGCCCTGAAAATCCTCTGTGCTTCATCCCTCCCTCCCCCCAACCTCTGGCAACCACTGATCTTCTTATTGTCTCCACAGTTTTACATTTTCCAAAATGTCATGTAACTGGAATGATACAGTACGTAGCCTTTTCAGATTGGCTTCTTTCATTTAGTAATATGCATTTGAGTTCCTTCCATGTCTTTTCATGGCTCGATAGCTCATTTCTTATTTTATTTTATTTTGTTTTTTATTTTAGCATATTATGGGGGTACAAGTATTAAGGATATGTATATTGCCCATGCCCCCCACCCGCCCCGCCTTGAGCTCATTTCTTTTTAGCACTGAATAACATCTTATTGTCTGGAAGTGCCACAGTTTACCCATTCACCTACTGAGGGACACCTTGGTTGTTTCCAAGTTTTGGTAATTATCAGTGTGAATAAGGCTGCTATAACATTCATGTGCAGGTTTTTGTGTAGATATAAATTTTCAACTCATTCGGGCAAATACTATGGAGAGCTAGTGCTAAATGGTATGGTAAGCACATAGTTGGTTTTGTAAGAAACTGCCAAACTGTCTTCCACAGTGGCTGTATCATTTTGCCTTCCCACCTGCAATAAATGGGAGTTCCTATCGCTCCACATCCTTGGCAGCATTTGGTGTTGTCAATGTTTTGGATTTTGGCATTCTAATAGGTGAATTAATGTTTCTTTAAAAGAAAACATTTCCTCCAAATTGGATGGATCACCTACAAAGACAAAGAACCACTGCTTTTAAATAGTAGATAAGTGTCTTTGCGAAGTAAAGTCTAATCAAATCTCACCTAAAAGTTTTAAGTAGTATGCAAAGGAACAGAAACAGATTGCAAATAAATCTCTGGGAGAGTAATTGTCATTTAAGATGGTCCTTTTCTCTCTATTTTCTCTTTCACTCAATAACTTTCATGTTAAGACTGCGTGTTGGGCTGGGCGCAATGGCTCACACCTGTAATCCTAGCACTCTGGGAGGCCGTGGCGGGCGGATTGCTCGAGGTCAGGAGTTCGAAACCAGCCTGAGCAAGAGCAAGACCCTGTCTCTACTATAAATAGAAAGAAATTAATTGGCCAACTAATACATATATATAAAATTAGCCGGGCATGGTGGCGCGTGCCTGTAGTCCCAGTTACTTGGGAGGCTGAGGCAGGAGGATCGCTTGAGCCCAGGAGTTTGAGGTTGCTGTGAGCTAGGCTGACGCCAGGGCACTCACTCTAGCCTGGGCAACAAAGCGAGACTCTGTCTCAAAAAAAAAAAAACAAAAACTGTGTGTTGTAGAAACAGGAGCCTGAGAGTTGCAGGACATTTTTGGAGCCCAAGTAATGCATACAAAACTAACTTCCTACAGCTCAGTAGTAAGAGTTGCAATGCAGGCTACCAAGTAGGACAACCCAGAGAAGCAGTCCTCCGTTACACAGCACCAGTGGCAGAATTCCTTTAACGACTAAGTAATCATCACTCATCACCAACCTCCCCACCGAGAACCGGGTCCAGGTGCCCACTAAACACTGGGGAGAAACAGCCAGAGTCCTGCTTTGCCAACCACATTTTCTTTCACAGGGACCAGGTCAGGTCTGTTTGCAGTCAGCAGCCTGGCCGTTTAGTCCTGGTAGAGGATTAATGTCGGAACTTAAGCAAGGCCCTCTTAGAACTGTAGAAAAGTTTTTTCACCAAGACAATTGTTTTTCCATAGTTGGTGCTTTCACCGCAGTAGGTGTTAAGAAAAGCAGTATGTACAGCCTCTCGTGTGATGTTTTCTTTCCTCTTTTCCAGGACAGAATGGTGTTGCTCATTGTGGGGAATCTGGTTAACTGGTCCTTGTAAGTAGTCTCACAAAACACATTCTTATCTTTATTAATGTCTGTAGCACCATGATTTAGCTTTCCTGGACTGTCATTTTTATGAAGAAATCTGAAATTAAGGAGAAGGCAGGACTGCTTGCCCTAGAGACTTGAAAAAACATACTTTTCTTCTTGCAAGGAAGGCAATAGGACACTCTCGTGTACCGATTGCAACCTCTCTTAAAAACTTGATGCATAGAGTTCATTTGCTTAACAAGATAAACATCAAAACTTGTTAAATCTATGTGGATAGATCAGATAGATGGAAGGATGGATGGATAGGTAAGTAGACAGGTGTTATATCAATTGTTGCAAAAACACAATGAAATTTTAAACTCTTTTATAGAACTATCCATAAAGGTTACCCAGTAGGCATCCTTTTCTATAGAAATTTCTTTCTTACTAAATAAGTATGTGTGAGACAGAGAGCAAATCTTTTCCCTATTTTTTCCTTCCCTCTGGGTTTCTTTCTTCCTGTCCCCTCTATATCATTCTTCTTCCTCTTTTTGTCTCCATCATCCCCTTGGCTTTTTTTCCTCAAATGGCCTCCCAATAGAACAGTACAACAGGGCCGGGCGCAGTGGCTCACCTATAATCCTAACTTTCTGGGAGGCTGAGGCAGGTGGATTGCTCGAGGTCAGGAGTTCGAAACCAGCCTGAGCAAGAGCAAGACCCCGTCTCTACCATAAATAGAAAGAAATTAATTGGCCAACTAATATATATAGAAAACATTAGCCGGGCATGGTGGTGCATGCCTGTAGGCCCAGCTACTCGGGAGGCTGAGGCAGAAGGATTGCTTGAGCCCAGGAGTTTGAGGTTGCTGTGAGCTAGGCTGACGCCATGGCACTCACTCTAGCCTGGGCAACAAAGCTAGACTCTGTCTCAAAAAAAAAGAACAGTACAACAGACACATATTTTTGCTAGCCCAAATTATTTTATGCAACCCATTCTCAATTCAAACATTTGAATGAGTGAGACATTTTATTGATCACTCAAAAAATAAGTAAGTTTAGTGGCTTTTATGTGTGGCTCTTAGCCGATGTGCTTCTCCGGGTCAGTGACCTTTGACAGAAAAATGACTCCCTACTCCTAGCGCACATTAAGACACACAGCTGACTGGAGGAAGAGGCATGCCTTCAGGGGAAGCCAGAATCAAGCCATGAGAATTTGAGTCTTATTTGGCGGGACATATGTTTCTGGAAGAAACTTCCCATGTCACCCCAGGGATTACCTTGGCATCAGGATTCCCTCCTTTACTTGGGGGCAAGTCGAGATGAGGGGATTTTCGGGCAACAGTCCCCTGCCGTGCTCTTCTGGACCAACCTAGCAGCAGACTCCACAGTCTCGTGACTCAGGGTGCTGGTGGGAGAAAAGGGACCAACTTCATGGTGATGAACAACTGATGACTATGACCCCAGGGGCTCTGAACCACCTGCTTGTACAGGGGCTCTGAACCACCTGCCTCTCACATGATCGATACCAAACCCACGATCTGTTCATGAGATAAGGCAAATGGCCTTTCTCCTCCTAGACAGCACCTGGGACACCAGGGCCTACAGGAATGAAGGAGGTGCAATGACACACTAACACTGTGTCTATCCCATAGAGCATCACCTCCCTCTCAGTTGCTCCATAAAGACACGGAGTGATTTAATATGAATGTTACTCAGATGGTCCTAAAGAAGAAAAATGGTTTCTGTGTGTATATACCATATATGTGTGTATACCATATACACACACGGAGACGTATGTATGTATGTATTTGTGTGTATGAAGAGCGAGCGAGAAAGAGAGAGAGAGAGACAGAATGCTAAAGCAAATGTGGCAAAATGCTAATAATTGGTGAATCTGAGTGAAGGTTGTACAAGAGTATAGTGGCAAACTGAAGATTTCAGAATCTAAGAGGAGAAAATTTCCTATATTGCACAGAACAAAGTTGGTTAGAGTTCAAAATGAACAAAAAGAGGGTCCATTAATAACAGCTTTACACTTAAAATACTTAGGGGTAAATTTTGAGAGATGTGCAGAATCTTTCTGCCAGTTAATTACCTTATTAAGAGACACAAAGGAAAGCTAAATGAAGAGAGATGTCAGGCCCCGGATGGGAAGATTAACTATGGCAAATATATCCTTTCTCAAGTTAATATATAAATTTAGAATTAGAATTGTAATTAAGTTAGTAGGATATAATTCTAAATTTTATTTGCCTCGTTAGGCAAAATTTTCAAAGATCTCTGAAAAAGAAGAGTAATAGAAGGAAGGAGGGACAGAGGGGTATAGTGACTAGCCCAGCATTATCCAATAGAACTTTCCAGAATGACGTAAATACTCCACACTGCACTGTCTAATACAATAACGATTAGCGCATGGATATTGACAACTTGAAATGTGGTTAGTGTGACTGAGGAACTAGATTTTCAGGTTTTTAAATTTTTAATTAATTTAAACTTAAATAGTTACATGTGACTACCAAATGGAATATCACAGGCTAGCCTAACCAGATAACCTAACATATTATAAAACAATAATAAAACAGTGAGGTACTGATCCAAAATTATAAGTTAGAAATGTAAATCAGTGAGTCAGAATGGAAAGGACAGAGACCCAGTGAGCTATAGATGTAGACAGAGACATCTCTTAATATGTGTGTGGATGTATTAATATATTTGTTAAAAACAATTTCAAAACAAGAAGGAAGAGTTATTTAATAAAGGGTTTGTTACAACTGAATAGAAAGTGGAACAAAATTTAAGTTAAACCCCAACTTAAATTAAACTTCAGTATTAATTTTAAAACCATGGACAGCTAGCAAAAGTTTGGTAATATGTATCAAGCCAAGTATGGAGATAATTCTACTTCTAGTAATCTATTCTAAGGAAGTAATAGTAAATTTAAAAAAAAAAAACCAATATATCTAAAGGTATTCATTTATTCATTGCAGTGTTCCTTAGAATAGTGAAAAACTGAAGGGCGTGGGGAAAACCCTCCTTTTCAACCGAAGAGGAAAGATGATTGTTTACAGCAAATTCACTTAGGAGAACTTTCCATTGTCTTTAGAAATGAATGTTCTTGTAATAAATTAAAAGTTACTGATATGTTAGAGTGGTTTTGTTTAATGATCCTCCCCCCCAGACACACACACACACACACACACACACACACACACACACACACACACACATGGGGATGAGGGGGTGAAAAAGCCAACGAGGTTACAAATCCACCTTCACGGCTGGCGACATTCCTCCCTGTCCCCAGCGCCCTCTTCGGATTGATATACCGCCCCAGGGACTTTGCTTCCTACATGCTGGGCATCTTCATCTGCAACCTGCTGCTGTACCTGGCCTTTTACATCATCATGAAGGTAAGCCTGGGCGCGGGGAGCCGGCTGCGCCCTCCGGCAGGTGGCGGGTCCAGCGTGGCGGCATCTGCTTCTCACCCACAGCTTCGCAGCTCCGAGAAGGTCCTCCTGGTCCCGCTCTTCTGCATCGTGGCCACCGCTGTGGTGTGGGCTGCCGCCCTGTATTTCTTCTTCCAGAACCTCAGCAGCTGGGAGGTAAGAGGACAGTTTTCTTGTCCAAAAAGAAGCTCTCTCCACCTTGCCTTGTTGACCTTCCTACTTCCCTCTCTTAATGTATTTCTTTCTTCTTGTTATCCTTTTTACTTTCTCTAAAATGAAAGCTTTCTCTGAAAGGGATGGATTATAATATCCACACATAAATGCATAATAACTGGCATGTGGTTATTGCCCTCAGGGTAGCACTTTGTAAATTTGTAAGCCCAACTGGGTGTGGTGGCTCACACCTGTAATCCTAGCACTTTGGGAGGCCCAGATGGGAGGATTGTTTGAGTTCAGGAGGGCCAGACTAGCCTGAGCAAGAGTGAGACCCTATCTCTACTAAAAAAAAAAAAGAAAACAAAAAAAAAAAAGAAAAATTACCCGGGCATAGTGGCAAGTGCCTGTAGTCCCAGTAATTCAGGAGGATCGCTTGAGCCCACGAATTTGAGGTTGAGTGAGCTATGATGATGTCACTGCACTCTAGCCTGGGTGACAGAGTGAGATTCTATCTAAAAAAAAAACTAAAAAAAAAAAAAAAATTGTGAGCCCTATATATGCTGCAGATTTGATCTTCATTATGTGTTGCATTGTGATCCTGAGCCCAATGGATGGTTAACTTGTGCAAAATCCCTGATTAGTGGGTATCTTCTCTCACTTACTCTTGATCACCATCCATCAACAAAGACCCAGGTGTGGGTATTATTACATCCATTTCATTTCATAGATAGCAAAACCGAGTGCTAGTAGGAATATATCTGAGGCACAACAGGGAAGACGTCTTAGTTCTTCATCATGACAATCACCACAATGGATTTTAGAGCATTTTTGTCACCCCAGAAAGAAACCTACAGATTAGCAGTCACTCCTCATTTCTCCCTACCCCTGATCTCTATGCAACTACTAATCTGCCTTTTATCACTATAGATTTGCCTATTCTGGGCATTTAATATAAATGGAATCACACAATAGGTGGCCTTTGAGTCTGGCTTTTTCCATTTAGTATAACGCTTCCTAGGTTCCACTATGTTGTAGCTCGTATCAGGACTTCATGTCTCTTTATTGCTGAACAATATTCCAATGTGTGGATGTATTAATACCACACTTTATCAATCCATTCATCAGTTGATGGACGTTTGGGCTATTTCCACTCTTTGGCCATAATGAATGATGCTGCTATGAATATTTGTGTACAAGTTTTTGTGTGGATGTATATTTTCTTGGAAACTGACTTTTTAAGCCAGACATCTATCAGCATTGCTGTAGTTTTCAGGATGCTCAATCCCCTAAACAAATGAATTGTGGGAATCCTGCCCATGTCCTCACCTTCCTCCAGGGAACCCCAGCCGAATCCCGGGAGAAGAACCGTGAGTGTGTCCTGCTGGATTTCTTCGATGACCATGACATCTGGCACTTCCTCTCTGCTACTGCCCTGTTTTTCTCATTCCTGGTGAGTTTATCATGTCTCTGTTACTTTCTACACACTTCATTCACATCTTATACTCTCGTTGTTCTCTCTTCTGCTCATCCTGACATCCTCTTTCATATTCCTAATTTCCCTTTCCAATTCCTCATTGTAATTCAACGTACAGAGACCATCTTGTTTCTTTTTTAAATATTATATCCTTTGGGTAGCTCCTTATTTTCTTTTACCCTTCAATATTTTTAGACACAGGGTGACAAAATTATTTCCCCTAAGTTGCATAGCACATTTGGACTACATTGGTTATTACACCCACATGCTCAGAATTCCCCCAGGAAACACTTTTTGGCCTTCACTAAAATTCCGATAACACTGGACTATTCCTTCTCTTGCCATGCTGTCATTCCTCCTCCCCCTCCAGTCTCACTGAATAGTTCACAAATATTTTACAGATTCCTAGAGTGGCTCAGGACAGCAGCCAGGCCTCTGTTGCCTTCTAACCAGTCTGTCCCAAATCTCTCTTGTATTCCCTTTATTTTTTGTCCAGCCCCTTTTCAGAAGCCACGTGCATTTATGTCAACACTGGATGACAGCTCCCAGCATCCTTTAATCGTAATTTTGACTTTTCCAGATTAAAAGTCTGTGATGTACAGGGGTTCAACTGACAATTAACAACCCTATTTGACTCCTGGGCTCCCAGCACCGGCCACTCTAGGCGGTCTCAGGCCTGCCACATAACCTCAGGAGTGGAGCAGGGCTGCCCTCCAGTGGCCAGTTTGGGAAGTTTAACCAATTTGTACAAACATTCCTTATGGCTTTTGTTTTTGATAGTCACCTTCTTTAGAGACAGAAACATCAAAAGTGGAGCTAAAAGTTCCATGTGGGGAGTAGGAGGGTACATTGCTTATATAGAAATGCTCTATGTAATAAGGATTCATTTCCTTTAGGTCTTGACCTAAATGTCCCCTTCTAAGTAATGACTTCCCAGGCCACCCTATCAAATAATTTTTACCTCCCCACACCCCATACTTCTAATATTCCTTCCTAGTTTAATTTTTATCCTTAGCACATAATACTATATCTAACAAACTCTATTTTATTTATGTATTTGTTGTATGTCTAAACCCTTCTCTTTTTTTTTTCTTTTTTTTTTTTTTGAGACAAAGTCTCACTCTGTTGCCCGGGCTAAGTGCCATGGCGTCAGCCTAGCTCACAGCAACCTCAAACTCCTGGGCTCAAGCGATCCTTCTGCCTCAGCCTCCCAGGTAGCTGAGACTACAGGCATGCACCACCATGCCTGGCTAATTTTTTTCTATATATTTTTAGTTGGCCAATTAATTTCTTTCTATTTTTAATAGAGACAGGATCTCGCTCTTGCTCAGGCTGGTTTCGAACACCTGATCTTGAGCGATCGTCCTCCCTTGGCCTCCCAGAGTGCTATGATTACAGGCATGAGTCACCAGGCCCAGACCCCTTCTCTTCTCTTGGATGTAAGCTCCATTGCGAGTTGGGATTTTTTTTTTTTTTTTTTTGAGACAGAGTCTCACTCTGTCACCCTGGGTAGATGGGTATCATCACAGCTCACTGCAGCCTCAAACTCCTGGGCTCGGGTGATCCTTCTGCCTCAGCTTCCTGAGTACCTGAGACAACAGACATGTGCCACGACACCCAGCTAATTTTTCTGTTTTTTTTAGAGACAGGATTTTGCTCTCACTCTTGCTCAGGCTGGTCTCGAACTCGTGAGCTCAAGCAATCCTCCTGCCTTGGCATCTCACAGTGCTAGGATTACAGGCCTCATGCCCAGTGAGCCATGGTGCCCAGCTGCAAGTTGGGATTTTTGTCTTTTTTGTTCCAAGCTGTATGTCCAGTATCTAGAATAGCACACAATGAACCCTCAGCAATATTTGAGTTAACTGACAAATGAACTATAAAATTATAACAAATGCCTATTAAGAGCAAGGTATTGCAGAGAGCTGCAGAAGACATGAAAATGAGGAAGAGAATTCAATTTCCAGTCTTGGAGTCTCAGAGAGAAAGCAGTGACTTCTTCATGTGACAGTGACTGTGCAATCCTTTCATCTCTCTGTTCCTCTCATTTCAGGTTTTGTTAACTTTGGATGATGACCTGGATGTGGTTCGGAGAGACCAGATCCCTGTCTTCTGAGCCTCTAGCACTAAGACGGGGAGAGGGAGCAACCAATCCTGGTGCTGTTTCAAGGCAAATACAGTGACCACAGCAAAGCAACCACTGCCAACCGCTCACCCTCTGTAGGGTCAACCCCGTGTTCACACAGGAAGGAGGAGTGGGAGAGACCTAAACCTGCAGGAAGGAGGCAGCAGGGGAGACATGCCGCAGAGGCAAACCTGAGCCGCAGAGAAACCCTCGCCTCTTCCTGCTGTTTGCAGCTCTGTGAGTGAGACAAGGACAGAGGCTGCCTCCACGTTGATTCACTCCCTTGGGAGCCCTGCCACCGGCCAGCAATGGCAAATGCTGCTGCCCCTTCCCTCCAGCCGCCGCCCTGCCTAGAAAGGCAGCTCGGACTCCCCACCCAAAAAGTTTGCCTTGGCTCGCTCCACGCCTCTGTGCATCTGCTTCTCTAGATGCCACAAAGCATCAGCTCCCTTCTCCGAGGTCCTGGGAGGATGTGATTCCTCAGAGTGTGGTGGAGAGGCGGGACCCACGCCCCACCCAACTGTGACAGACATTCTAGCAGCGCCAGCTGGTCGCCACCTCCGAAGGAACGGAGCGCTGGATGTTTCCTCAGGTTCCTGATATTCCTGGAGGAACTCAGGATTGGGCTTTGTCACTGGGACCAAGGCCTGGTGCTTACTTATCTTCATCTCAGTGTCTTCATCTCACTGCTGTGTGGACCCCATCACTCTGCCCAACCCACTTCTTGGAAAGGCCCTGGTACTCCACAGACTCCTGGGCAGCTCCACGGTGGAAGGGGAAACGGGCTAAACTCTTCTAGCAGTGGGACGAGCACGGGAAATGACCGCCAGTGTCAAGAGACTGGCAACGGCACCAGCAGGCAGGCAGGCATCACCATAAGGACCGATTCAGCACAGGAAACAACACTTAGTTGGCCCTACGATTCACACAGCTCAGCGCTGTGCCCACATCACCTTTGGGGAAGAAATAAGTGTTCTACCCTAAGGGTCCTCCGTGTCAGAGCCCCTCATCTGTCATTTTGTGTACATCAGGGTCCCACACTTTCTCCCTGAAGTTCTTAGAAGTATTTAGAACTCTTCAGGATGAACACATTTTCCTCTTCCCCTCTCAATGCGAAGAGCACAGCTAATTAAGTGTTGTCTCTTGGTGGCATCTGACTCCCATTCTCTCCCCTTTAAGGTGTTGAAAAGCTCAGTGTCCCAGTTCCAGTCACGCACAGCCTGGCAGCTCTGCCTCTGAGAAGTCTCATTGTGACCAGGCTCCCTTGTTGCCTGCAGTATGATGTAATCAGACAATAGACATACGGACGTGCGCATGCATGTATATTTGCTTGTGAAATTGAAGTCACCTCTCACCTCTGCTTTCCTGATCGTTCACCAGACAAATGGATCAGACATTCTTTTTAAAAAAAAAAAAATATGATTCTTTATCTACAATATTTGCAGTGTTCAAAAACACATTTCAGAAGTTTGGAAAGCAAGTTTTTCTGATTTCAAAAACACAAAGATGCTTTCAATGAAAAATGTAATGATTTTTCTAAATGTCCCCAAATTTTATATGTGGTCCTCTGTTATTCTTTACTCCTTAAAAATTGTTGGTTTCCATAGGCCACGTGAAGGCTGCCAATTAAATGGTCATGTTAATCTAACATCTAAAGAATTTTTGAACCTGTTTTAACTATGGCTGCTTTGACCTAATTCTTTTATTTTAAGGCACTCATGGTTTCTAATCCAAAAAAGACCCACTGAGGAAATGTAAACCACTAAGTCCACTCAAGTAGCCCTATGGCCTGAAGTCAGTAAATGCCAAGATACATTACCTGCTTGGTAACTTGTTTGGGGAGAAATGTCAGTGGAAATGGGGAGGGTGCCCTGTAGAAAAGATGGATCGTTCCATATTCTTGACTGTTTTCTGATCATGTCTGTCTTGTGCTATAAAGTCACACATTGTGGTCAGGTTTTTTCTCTGCAGCAGGACTGAAAACCGAGACCAAGCCTGCTTTTATAAATATGAATTCCAAATGTACGTGTTGCTGTTCTTTCTGCAGCACCGATCTCGTGGTTGGAGGACATAAGAAAGCCACCCGGCTGCAAGCGTGGGGTTAGCACGAGTGCTGGGGCGGAGGGGACGAGGACAGTCACGGAGAGCTGAACGGCGCCTCATGCAGGACTACGCCTGGATGGAACAGCGCATCGTGTCCGTGCTGACTCTTGCCTGTGTTCGTGGACATCACTGTTTAAAGGAGAAAGAACGGGTAACTCAGAAAGCCAAGTTCAACTGGAGGGTAACTGGAGAAAAACAGGCTCCTGGCCGGGAAGGCTCAGAAGTAACAAGAGCAGTTTAGCTGGTGCAGGACAGAGACGTGGCAGCCGAGAGGGGCGAAACTGCACATAAAAAAGTGACTTCTCCACGCTTCTGACAGATGCTGGAGAGGCAACTCCACCTGTTTACGCTGGACGGTTCACTGAGGGATTAGCCGGGTTTTATTTTAGCAGCAGGAGAAGCCAGTGGAAAACCAGAGTCTATCTCGGGAAGGGACTTTCCATGACTGAAGGAGATCCCCGAGCCAGCTCCTTGGGGCTAAGAAAGTGGCAGCTGCTTCCTTTGTAATTCCAAGCACTCGCCAGAATGTTCTGTGGGGTCACAGAATGCATGTCCATAAATCAAGTAATACCCAAATGTTTCTCATTCTGGGTGACAATTTCTCTGTCTAAAACTTGGGGGAAAGGGAGGAACAAAGACAAACATCCTTCATAGAAGGAAGAGTAGAAGCTGAGAAAGATTGTGGAGTCAGAGTTTAGTCCAAATATGTCCACCTACTTGCTGTGTGACCTTGGGTAGGTCATTGAAACTCTCTGATCCTCAGCTGGCACAGCTCCTTGACACTACACGAGGGACAAGGTGGGGACATGCAGGGCCTGGGAGCAGTGTGAGCACAGAGAGGATTCCCAGCTCACACCTCTTCAGTCCCACAGGCAGCAAGAGCAGGTTTGCTGCTGCTGGGAGCTCTCTCCTCCAGGGCCCTCCTGTCTCCTGTCCTCAGTTCCAGGAGGCCCCGAGGGCTGGGGAGGCCTCTTCACCTTCAGAGGCACCGCTGAGATCCATCCTGCCTCCTATCCCCAGCCCCTTCGTGTCCCTGATTACTGCATGTCACCAACTCTGGCTCTTAATGATATGCTGCTTCCAACTCAGATGAAAAATTGCCACCAAAACTAAGACCAGGTGGAAACCAGGACCCCCTAGCCATGCATAGGGTCACACCTCATTACTGCTGTCTCTGCCCTGGGAATCTCAAAGGAAAGAAAACGTAGAGTTTCTCCTCTCTGGTGACTATTACAACCAAGCATTTTTTGTCCCCAGACGTAAAGCTCTGATTGCTGATACAACTTAGCATCTGTCACCACCACGTGCCTAGAAAGGATATCTGGTTCTGGAGGTCTCCTTAAGTGACCTCCTCAGAGACAGAGGCTTTCTCCATCTGCAGTTCCCAGGCCTACTGCAAAACCAAACACAGAAATAAAGTAATCCGGGGAGACCCTGCTCAGCATCTGGTGTCAGAGAAGGGTGCTAGTTCTCCGAAGAAATAGGCTTCTTGCAGCAGTCGCTTCAAACATGTCTGGGAATTTCCAGTGAGCCTCCAGTGGCAGAACACTGTAATAGCGAAGTGGATGGAGCATTAAGGAAAAGGAAAACTGAGATGAGGCAAGAATAATAAATGTAAACCTGGAAGACCAAAAGGAGACTCCGATTAAGGTCAGCTTCAAGCAGCAGTGTTTCCTAAAAGTCTAAGGGGGAAGGGAACAGATAAGGATCCAAGCCTGAATTATCCCTAAAAACTGTAAACGAGGATGGTGGCTTTAAACAAGAGGGTCAGTGAGACTGGACTGGGACATAGAGGAAAGATAGTTGCTCCTTTGGGTGATGGAGTTAAAGGGGGAGCTAGAAGGAAAAGAAAAGTGTTTAACTTCACGGAGAGTGTTGAGAAGTAGTGTTGGCGGCACGGAAGACAGAGCCTATCAGATGTTACTTTGGTGAAAACTCTACAAAAAGGGTTGGAGAAGGAGGGCTGGACCAAAAGAGGAGGGACAAACTTTCGATGTGGTGGGTCAGTGGGTTTGGTTTTGCTTGTGTGTTTTCAGGTGTACTGAAAGCAAAAAGAAAGGGAGCCTTGGGGTCCACTGAGACTACAGAGACTACCAGTACTACTACAGGCAGTATTTTGAATATTATATTTGGACTCAGAGAGAAGCTGACATTCTGTTGGACTTCTACAGCCTGGTCTGTCATGCCCAGAGGAGGAGAATAACTATTCTTTCCAAATAAAGGGGGAGAAATCAGAAAAATAAAAGAGATACTTTAACTGACAACCTCAGTTTTTTCCATAAGAAAAATGAAAGTCCTGGTTTTAATCCCAGCAGAGAGCCAAGATCTAGAGAGAGGGATAGTTAGAAAGGGAACAAAAAGCGATCCATCTCCCTAATGTTTTCTAGGTGGCAACAACCTCCCTGTGCTAGAAGACAAGCATGGGACGAGGTTCTCAGGCTGCCCGTTTAGTGGGATCTTACTATTAGAAACACATGTCCTCAATTCCCATCTCCAACCCATAGAACATTAAAGTTGGCAGAACTGATCATTAAAACAGCCAACATTCATCATCAGGCACTTTGCCAAGGGTTTTATATACATTACTTTATATAGTAATATTAATAATTAATTAATATTAATAATACTGAAACCCCTAAGAAGTTATTCCTATCATGTCCATTTCCCAGATGGAGAAACTGAAACTTAGAAAAGTCACTACCCTAGGTGAACCTGAACTAGTAGTTAGAAATGAGTAGTTCAAGTAACAAGATCAGAGAAAGGAAGAACAGTTCGTGCTATAATGAAGGCTCAGCTTTTATTTGGGCATGCATCTATATGTGCAAAACACACAGCCTAGAATTATATAACTATTGAACATATTAAAAAGAAAAGGTTTTTCAAAATTCAGAAGATATGTGTCTGATACATAATTCTGGGTAACAGTGAAACCCATTGTGCTTTAGGAAAGCCATCCAATAAAACCATGGTTTTGTATCATCTTGGCTCTCTAAGCTGGAACAGCTGCATTGACATGAGTTGCTTCAGTTTCTAAGCTTGTAAAGCTAAGAACCAAAGTCCTTTTTTAAAATTCGATGATTGCATTTGGCAAAGGGCCATAGACCTGAAGATTCATTTTAAATCAAAATACACATAGCATAAAGTGTTAGGTTACCACTGGAAGCCTGTTGGCTCAAAAACAAAATTTAAAAGGAAGAGAAAGCACAGGAATGTAGTGTGGTTTTTGTTTTTTGGGTTTTTTTCTAAAAAACATTCAGAGACTCAAAAAGTTTTCAAGCGTCAAAAAGTTCTCCAACACTGCCTCTAACACTCATCTGGGCTGGCCCAGTAGATCAGAATCTGCCACTCTCACAATAGTTACACCATCCTTTTGTTCTTGGTCGCTGGGCCCAGCTCCCTCCTCCTATAAGGCAGTGGTTTCATCCCAGCCAAATGTAGGCAGAGGAACTAGCTGCATTGAACTGGAAAATCATATTTCTTCATTTGGGGTACAATGATAATAGCGATGAATGTTTCTAAGTCTGTCCAGAAATAAGACAAAGAAAAGCAATATGACTTGGTTTAGAACACTGACACACTGACATTCTAACCAATTCCCATCTTCTGTACTAAGCTGTTGGGCTTTTTTTTTTTCTTTTTAAAATATTTAACATGAATTTGCACATTCGCCCCATGGCAGCATTCAAAAAAATGAGATTTAACCTAATTGGATCATGAATTCCCAGAAAACTTTGCAAAACAGTAAGTTCTCCACCACTACAATTTGGCTGCAGCCTCCTTCCAAACCACAATCTGAATGTGATTAGGCAATGTCAGAAAACACCACCAACAACCAGATCTGCACAGCACAAACTTTGCTAAAAGCTGGATTTTCATACCTTTCCCCAAATCTATAGCTTACTTGATCATGTGAAAAATTAAGTGGCACACTGGTACTAGTTAACCAACCTACCTGACTTTTGAGTTTATCTAAGAAGCAAATTACCATCATCTCCTTCATTTCTCACAGGACGAAGAAAAGGACAAAGGAGCTGTTGACATTGACCAACTAAGTATATTCTAGCAGAGGTTGCATTTCTGTTTCACTGTAGGGGAGGTGGAAATGAGGGCAGTTATGGAAAATAAATATAAAACCTCATTTGACCTTTCTCCCCTGTGAGGGAGACAGGATAGGTAATATTATAATAACAATAAACAGGTAAGAATACCAAACTAAGACACAAAGGAGTTGTGTCATTTGTCCAAAGTCAAAGCCAGATAACAGATGAGCCAGATACAAAATAGTGCCATGGCCTTTTCTTTTTCTAAAGACTGACAGTAAAATAACTTTTGGATATTGTTTACTCAAGGGGAATTTATCAAGAGAAAACCAACATCCGTTCAAAGTTCCATAGACAATTTTTTCTTAACATTTTTGTTTAGGTATAAAATATATTTGGTAATGGATAAAATGTACACTAACCTTAAGTGTCTATAGATTAGTGAACTTTTACATGTATATATATATGTGTGTGTGTGTGTGTGTGTGTGTGTGTACACATGCACATTCACTGATGTAACCACCAGGAAGATGCAAAACATTTCTGGCATTCTCATGCCTGTTTCAAGTCAATCCCTGCCACCAAGATACCCACTATTCTGATTTTTCTCACCATCGATTAATTTTGCCTGGTCTTGAACTTCATGTAAATGGAATCATGCAGGATGTACTCCTTTTGTCTGGCTTCTTCATTTAATATTATATAATGTCTGTGAGATTTATCTGTGTCTATAAGTAGCTTTGTTTTGTAAATATATGACATTTTATTTATCTTTTCTCATATTGGTAAACATTTGAGCTGTTTCTAGTTTTTGTCTACTGTAAAGAAAGCTGTTGTGGACATTCTTATACATGTCTTTTTGTGATCTTTTTTCCAAGGTATATACTCAGTGTACTATGGAATTGCTGAGTTGTGGGGTAGATATGTCTTTGTTATTAAAAGATACTGCCAACAGTTTTCCAAAGTGATTGGACCAATTTACCCTCCTATAAGCACTGTATGAAAGTTCCAATTATTTCACATTTTTGCCAACATTTGGCATTTGTCAGTTCTTTCAAGTTTAGCCTCTCTAGGTGAGAATGAAGTGATATCTCAATGTGTTTTATTTTGCATTTCTCTGATTACTAAGGATGTCGAGCACCTTTTCGTAGACTTCTTGGCCATTTGTGTGAATGATTTGTTCAAGTTCTTTGCCCATTTTAAAAATCAGCTTTATGAGTATTTTTCCTTTTGATATATAAAATCTTTGACACTCTGTGACTTGATGAAGAGAAATTCTTAATTTTAATGAAGTCCAATCTAACAATTTTTTCTTTTATGGTTATAGTCAGACAGATATTTCCTATGGTTTCTTCTAAAATACTAGTTCTCAAATTTTTTGGACTCAGGACCTATTTACACTCTGAAAAATTATTGAAAACTCCAAAAAGTTTTTGTTTATGTGGGTTATACCTGCCAGTATTTACCATATTAGAAAAAAAATCAAAGATTTACAAATATTTATTAATTCATTTAAAGAAAATAAATTCATTATATAACACAAATAACATTTTATGAAAAATAACTATATTTTCCAAAAGAAACAAAAATTGTGAGAAGAGTAGTATTGTTTTACATTTTTGTAATCTAATGTCTCACATACACAATAGCTGAATTCTCCTATGGAATTCTGCATTCACTCTGCTGTAGTATATGTTTTGCTTGAAGTAGAGTCGTGTCATTTAACAATGGGGATATGTTCTGAGAAATGCATCATTTGGCAATTTTGTCATTGTAAGAATATCATAGGGTATATTTATGCAAATCTGGATGGCATAGCCTACTACACACCTAGGCTATCTGATATAGACTATTGCTCCTAGGCTATAAACCTGCACAGCATGTTAACTATATTGAATACTGTAGGCAAATGTAGCACAATAGCAAATATCTGTGTATATAAACATATCTAAACAGAAAAGGTATAGTAAAAGTATGGTATAAAAAATAAAAATGGTACACCTATATAGGGCATTTACCATGCATGGAATTTGAAGGACAGGAAGTTGCTCTGAGTGAGTCAGTGAGTGAATGTGAAGGCCTAAGACATTACTGTACACTAGGCAAATTTTATAAACACTGTATACTTACAGAATGCAATACTAATCGTAAAAGGCAAAAAGGCAAATGAATTATCTTTAAATACTTAAATAATTTTGTATTTATGAAGGTTAATTTTAAAGCTGATCTTTGTTGCAGTTCAACATAATCCTGATATGTGACTAGAATTGCTACAAAAGAACAATCCTCCCTTTTCTTTCACAGTTCTGATATGTAAATTTTATGAAACATGATCACTGTGGAATTCCCAGCTTACTTAGAAAAAAAGGTGCGTCCTCTGGTATCCCAAGAGGTCTTACAATAAAAACAATACAAAATTTACTGAAGTGGTATAAATCTATAAGCCAATCTCAAAGCAACTTGTATTTCCACACACAAAAAGAAATGACATCAAACTGGATCCTTTTATCTATGACTGACTCATTAAAAGCTTATACATAGGCCGTTTGGTGCTCCATGCCGGTACTCTAGCACTTTGGGATGCAAGGTGGGGCGATGCGGAGGCCAAGAGTTCGAACCAGTCTGGCAATTGGGACCCCGTCTCTACAAAACATGAGAATTAAACCTGGTGTGCTATGCTGTAGTCCTAGCCACTTGAGAGGCTGAGGCAGGAGGATTGAGTGAGCCCAGGGGTTTGAGGTTGCAGTGAGCTATCATGACCCACTGCACTCTAGCCTGAGTGCCTAGGGACAGAGTAAGACCCTGTTCAAAGAAAAAAAAAAGCTGATGCATGAGATCTGAAATTTTTCACTTCATTAGAAGTTACCATTAAATGTTGAGAAGAATCAACTAATCTCTATAACTGATTACGTGTGATCAATAATGCTAAAAAAAAAAAAGAATGATTCAATCAACGATCCACTTGTGACTCGACATAACTTGTGTATTTCCAGAATTACAAATTATTTGTGGAACTGGTTTTACTTTCTCTAGTCATATATTATAAGCCAAGGATAACATTACATTCATTAAACCAAAACTGACTAGTTTCTGCCATTCTTTACCAAATTATATCTAGATACCACTAGATATTATATAAAAATTTCTCCCAGAAATTATGTAGCTCTAATTATCAACTTAATACTGCTAGTACACTCATATACTCATGCTTTTAAATCAAATAAGTACTACAGTCGAACACTTTCAGAATTGAGCCCATATATGAATGAACTCTTACATATACATGCACCTGTGTAAAATAATAGAGCTACAAGTAAGCAGGGACCCAGTTATTTGCAGGTGGTC